CTCTTCCAGCAAGTTGTGCAATTTGTTTGACCCGGCCTCCATTCCTGGCATGTGAAGATCACCCATCAGGAAATTTAAAAAAAAGCTCCTTGCAGTGCAGAGCATGTGAAACCCCAGCCTTTCGCTTATTATTTTGGACATCACTGTGAGCATAATAAAGGCCCATTGCCAAGTGACATGATAGCTCATTGCCATTAAGTTAACAAGGGCTGAAATTGCTGCTGTCACTTACAATATCAGCCTGGCTCAGTCGGTTTGTGAGTCAACCGAGCTCGGATTATCGTCCACTGGGAGAAACTGATCATCTGACAATGCAGCAAACCCCCAGCACTGCATTGGAGTGTCAGCCTAGACTATATAAGTTCAAAGTCCCGACTTGACTCAGAAGCAAAAGTGTTACTGATTGAGCCAGGATAAAAAAACATGCATCAATTGCACATAACCTTTGGTCTTTTCAGTGAAATTGATCTGGTTTACTCTTTGAGTTTTGTGAAAGTGTGTGGTAAGTAAAGGCAGTCTGAAACAATATTCAGTTATGCCCAATTATTTTCAGAGCAGAGGAAAAATAAATCTAATGAGGTAAATGATCTCTTTAGCACGCACCAGCTGTGCAAAACACTCCAGAATGAATATCGTAGGAAAAGCTCATGTTTGCCTGATCATCTGAGCAGCTGATGATGTTTCAGGCTTTCTTTTATTAGGTCTTTGTAGTTCCTAAAGTGATTGTATGCTTATCAGTGGTGTGAAAGAACATTCACAACTTCAGACACTGATGAAGTGCCATCTGTGTTACTGTGAGTAGCAGTGTGGAGCAGGGCTATTTTTGTGTGTACCCACTATAATAATAACAGACAAGATCACAAGTAACTGACTAACTAATTGAATGATTGATTGATGTACAGGATCTAAAAGACCAATTATAATAATAATAATAAGCCTTGCAATTGATATAGCGCCTTATCACGTTGTTGAGACGAATCTTTTGGTTAGTCTCAAGGTAAAATCAAACCTTACGTAGCAAAGTTGCACAACAATTCTCTTTTCTCTTTTCAAACAGTGCCGTGGGATCTTTAAAGTCCACCTGAACAGGCAGACAGGACCTCACCTTAACATATCAACCAAAGGATGTTATCTCCAACAGTGCAGTGTGGCCTCCAATCATTGCATTGGAGTGTCAGTATAAACTCTATGGGTTCCAAGTCCCGACACATTCACACAAGCCGTTCATCATCACTTCCCCTTCTGATCTTGAGTCCACGCTCCCCTGTTGAGGTCTATTCAGTTCCCTTTGGTACCTGAAAGCTTCAGTAAGATCTCTCCTGTGACTTCTCTTCAGCATTCGCAGCTTCTCTGATCATTCCTTGAAATTCCAGCTATGAATCCAGCTGCCCTCTCACTGTGCCCAATTCCAGGTTGGTTCCACTGTTAATACGACACTCTGGAGTCGAGACCCTGGAATTTCTTGTGTCTTACAATCTGTCTCTCTATGAACTTCTTTATGAATTCTTCTTCCTTGAGGCAACATTCTGACGCACATCAGTGGTAGATCTGGATTTTTACTGCCGATAAACAGTGAAATACGAGAAACCTGACACAGCACATGTAAATAAAGGAAATTATGTTGTTGTTTACCACTTCCCACGTTGAATGGCCAGGCTGTGAGCCACCTTCACGTATCTATTTAGTTATCTTTCCACACAACGGTATTGCATTTATCCAAACAAAAGTTACAATGATTAAGAAATGCAAGAGCGTATGGTTTCATTTCTTTATTTATTCCTTCATTTTTTTTACGTTTACCAAGCCTCAAATCCTGCAGGTTACGTGTTCATAATGAATTCCTTTTAAAACAATCTCCCTACCATGCACATGAAAATGATTTCGCCCACAAAATACACAGTCACTGCACTTCGCAGTGTATTCTGTGAAGCACTTGGAAACGTCTCAAAGACGTGATGAGGCACTATATCAAATCCAAGGATTATTATTTTTATTTGTGCTACCTATGTGGAGGCTTAACAGATCACTGACTGTCCAAAAATCCCTGCATTAAGGTGGGACCGAAAAACTACAAACAGCTCCTTTGATTTAGTCCATGCAGTGCATTTGCAGGAGGGCTCTTGGTGTCTCTAAAACGTTTTATTTATAGTATTTCATGACTTAAGTGGCTACGCTTGAGGCTAGACTTCATGTGTAGCTATTAGAGGACGGAAGCTATTAACCACCAAAATCATGAAGTACGGAATCTTATTTAATCATTATTATTTCTTTGTTTCAGCACAAAACTTAATAATAATAATAATCCTTGCATTTGATATAGCGCTTTTCACGTCGGGAGGATGTCCCAAAGCACTTCACAGAATATACTGTAAAGTGAATTGACTGTATATTTGTGGGCGAACGCGGCAGCCAATTGCGCACAGCAATGTCCCACAAACAGTCGTAGATTGAAAATGACCGATTTATTATTGTTTTTGGTTTTGGAGGGATTATTATTAGGCTCTGTGTGGAGTAAGGAAACTTGCCCAAGGTTTCGCCCTCTGCCTGGAATTGAACTCAGGTCTCTCACTTGCAAAGCGAGTGCTCTAACCACTGAGCTACAGGACTCCACAAAACTTCTGATGCCGCGACACCTGAAACCGTTATAAACAATCATTCCCTACTCTTTCCTGGTTTCATTTGGAGTCCTGTGGCTCAGTAGTTAGAGCACTTGCATTGCAAGCGAATGACCTGGGTTCTATTAATAATAATAATAATAATCCTTGCATTTGATATAGCGCATTTCACGCCTTCTAGACTCCCGGCAGGGCAAAATGCCAAGTTTCCTTACGCCACACACGTCTGTTTACCTAGCAGTAAGTAGGAACCTGGTTGTTAAATTCAATTGGCGGATCACTTTTCCGGGGATGATAATCCCTCAAATTTTTTTTAAAAAAATAATAATTTGGTAACTTCAATTCACAACTTTTGTGGGACACTGCTGTGTGCAGTTGGTGGCTGTGTTTCGCCCACATATGTACAGTCAATTCACTTTGCAATATATTCTGTGAAGTGCTTTGAGATGTCTACAAGAACGTGAACAGCGCGATATCAAATGCAAGAATTATCATTATTATTATTACTCCCCTTTCCTTTGACTGGGGTTCTGTTCCACAGGTTTGTGTGTCATCTGGTCCCCTGACCAATTTGCCAATATACGTGATTACAAAAATAATGTTAAAAGAATCCTTGCATTTGATACAGCGCCTTTCATGTCGGGAGGACGTCGCAAAGAGCTTTGCAGGACTTCCTGTAAAGTGTATCCACTGCGTGTTTTGAAGGGGAACATTAAATGATCTTTGACAATGAGCAATTAGTTGGTGACTTGACCACAGAACACGGAGGTGGGATGGTGGGATGGGGGAATACAACCCAGTTTATTCCTGCTTTTACCTGTCAGCCACATAGCACAATGCATCCTTGTTCATTCCCAACAGAAAGAAAATTCCTGCAAACCGACAAAATAATATTCTTTGTATTCTCTGTACTTCCCCTCTCCTCCATCGTTCTCATATCTCATTTCTCTCCTCCCTTAGCCTGTTCCCCATTGACAGTTCCAGTAATAACTATCGAGGTTTCACTCTCACAATTCAATTCGAGCCTCGTTGCCAGGCAACAGATACACCGTTTCCTTCAAGAAAAGGCTGGATGGTCTTAATTCTTTCCCCATCTGTAACATCAGGTGACAAGGAGTGCATATTAGTATGATGAGTGGGCTTGTTACGATTCCCGGAGATTGTCAGAGGCAGGAGCCCTTATCAGAGCGTGTTCAGAATCTCCGAGACTGCCAAAGAGAGATTGATTATTTTTATGTTTAAGTGCACCTAAAAACATGAAAAGTAAATTATAAAGCAACCAGGCCTTCCCATGGTGTGTCGTGCCAGCACAGACTGGATCGTAATTGGGAATAGAAACTGTGACCGATTGGTAACCCATGCCCCTCCTCCCCAACACCGTTTAAGATCAGCACAGGACAGGGGCTGGAACTTTAGACAATGTATGACTCTTAGCCTGTACTACACCTCAAATGTGTTTAACCCTTAGCCCCCTCCCTATATCTGTGATCTCCGCACGTTTTTGCTCGCCCTCCCCACTCGCCACAACCTGGGCCTGCGGTGCGTTCCTTGCCCTCTTTGCTCCACTCTGTTGCCAAGCCTTCAGCCACTATGATCATACCCTCCCTAAACCCCTGGTGCCTCATTCCCTCCCCAACACCCACCCCTAACCCTGTCTTTAAAAGCTGCCTCTAACTGTTCCTGCAGTCATCTCCCTTGACCTCCCCGCTCAAAATCCAGATTGTAACGTGCTTCAGACATTGCCCCATATGGAGGTGCTCTATGTAAATGCAAGTTGCCGTTGGGAGACTACTGTGTGTCAACCGGGCTCGGTCCACAGAACTCTCGCCTCTGAGTTGCACAGCAAGTGTATTTTGTCCGGTGAGATTTGTTCTGCTAAATTTTAACACTTCTTTTTGGGATGGGGAATTGGAGAGCAAGTGCTGTTTCTTTCTGTCCATCTGAAGCTGGTAGTGCTGTGTAAAAGCCAGTTATCAGATCAGACACTGTGAATTGAACCCACAGCCTTCTTACTCAGAAGTAAGAGCACTATTTAGAGAGCCGGCCAGGCCAGAATTGCTGATGGAGCAGGTTTGTCAGTATCAATGTTGCCTTATTGAAACATGCATTCCTTGAAGCAGAGGATTTAGCAAAAATGGTCAAGGCACGTAAACTGCAAGGTGAATGAGAACAATTGGATCTGCAGTTCAATACTTCGGCTTTAAGGGTCATTCTCGAGAAAGAGGGTAAGTTATGTATTTAAATGTGCTACAACAGACCAATGAGCTGTGCCCAGTTGTACAGAGCAAGATGCAAACTGGCATTAGATCAACAAGGGGGAGAAGCGTACACTTGAATTATAAATATTTATTTAGTTTCATAAAGAAATGTCTGCTACTTAAGAGGTTTGGCACCTTGGTCCCAAAATGGCTTTATTTGATATAGCGCCTTCGGTCCTTATCACGCCTTCGAGACACTAAAGCGCTTTACAGAAAATACCGTAATTTATATTTACAGCAAGATCCTGAGGCCAAATGCAAGAGCTTGAGTCCATCGCACCAGTTCAACTCAGCAAACTGTTAAAACCCAGCAACAATAAAACGAGAAAACATTTCCTCAAATGGGAGGAGAAACCTGGGCAATCGGAGACTAAACAGAAGTGTACAGGCTGATAATGGAGAAAACTAATAATGTTACATTATGTGGTATCAAAAAGGAATCACAAATCCCATTGTCAAAAAACATCTTAATTTTTCTTTTTAATTCAAGGAAAAGAGGAAAAACAGCAACTTGAGGCACAGTTGAAAAAAAAAGTATTATTTCCACCAGCTTACAGCAGAGTCTATTCAAAATAAACAGATGCTCTGATAGGAGAAACACTAAAAAAAATTTGGCTCAGAAGAATTTCAAAATGACACACTGATGCAAGGACAAAGTAAACTGATTTTGGATGCCTAGTATTAAAATAAAGTTACAATTCATATGGAACTGTGTTTCTTTCTAAAAAACACATTAATTTCCTCACAAAAATAATTATAGCTGGTTCAGACAATAGGACTGACACTGAAATGAGCTGAGAAGCATAAGCAAACAGGTGAATCCTGGAAGGCTTTACCATGGTAAATCTGGTTCCTCAGTGAGAGGGAATTTGGTTCTTCATATTTGGATGGATTAGTTGACCTCAGTACAGAAATTTCAAGCACATTCCATATTTCTAAACACAAACATGGCACACAGTATGTCAACTACACCATGAGAAGGCACTCTTCATAGCCAGGCTTCTCCAATAGTGTAAAACTAGGGAACGTACTCAGTGAGTTACAGTTTCACCTTAGTTTCTTCGATCTAAATGAGGAAATGTGTGCAAGACCTAGAATCCCTTTTCTTGATCTACCCAGACCATAATTTAAAATAGCTTTATATCAAATTGGTGCAAAGTTCATCATGCACACCATTTTTATAAATTCCATATTGAAGTACATGCATAAAGAGAATCATTATTGAAATGTTTATTTTATAAACTTATTAACAATTTGAAAACTTATGAGATTCATTTTTTAAAAAAAAGTAAGGTCTTTTAAAAGGGATACGGTATAAACTTTATTTCATCATTTCAAGTTGGTGCAGAATGCTAGAAATGGCTTTAAAATCCACAAATGTATTTCATAAATTACAGTACAAAATTTATTGCCAGTGAGTCGTAACTTACTGATAAATTTTAGACTGCACAAAAAAGGTCAACAACTAAGGTATGAAATTACAAACAGAAATCACAAAAATCAGTGTCCATTTTGTTTCAGGTCTCCACTATTGTTTCCAAATATCTGGAACATTAGTAGAAAGCAACATTAGTTATCACACTCAAAGTAATAAACAAAAATTCCTAGAGTGCTGCAAGATGGTGGTTCGACCATTGAAAATGGTATTTTTGTAATTAGCAATGTAGTCTTTGTAACTGGTCAGACTTTTTGCTGCTAGTAGTTAAAATTAAAGGTTTCTATCCTGGCAGTTTACATGCCAAGCATTGAACTACATTTTAAAAAAAACAGGAATAAACACTGGAAAGGTATTCCATGGAAAAGGTTTGAAATTTACCGATTAAGTTTGAGTAACCGTTACAGACGCAGATCATATAGATGGCAGCTGGAATAGGTCTAAGAGTTGAGTGTCGTCTCTAAGTGATACTGTATACTTGTTAAATTCTACTGCAAAATATTGTCCAATGACTTGGTTAAATATTTAAAGATGCATATAACATGCAGATTGAAGTTATGGTGCATGTTTCATTGTGCAATCATGCGAGGCAATATTCACTTCTTGTTCTTGAAATCCACTATGTTGGACGCATCTGTGCAAAGCGAGACTTGGACCTAGTTTAACAAAAGTAAACAAGTTCAGCTCATTGTTAATGCTGTGCTACTTTAAAGTGCTCGACTGTACCATGTTCTATATCAGTGACTTCACAATTGATCTTTATAAGGAATACATTTTCCCTTCCTTCCATAAAATATAACAATATCTCACATCACATAGATTTCCAAGAACACAATACAGTATAGTTTAGTTTTTGCACACTGTTGTGTTGTAATTGTGTAACACATTTGGACAAATTGAATTTCAGGAAAACTCAAATCACTGCAACATCGGTGTTGTAGTTGTTTCATTCTCTGACTTGTTTTAAAAATCAACTTGGCAATCCCCCACAGCTCTGTCTCTCCCCCAATTTCATTGCTTTTCCACATCACTGACTCCAATCAAAATTTGTTTCATGTCTCCTATTCAAGTTCATTCTTTCCTAGGATCTCAAGGCAGATCACCACCACCTACCTCCCTCAGACTTTCCTTCGTCCAGGTTTAATGTCAGCTGACTATCCCACTTTGACTTACCTTGTCTTATCTATTATGTCTTTAACCTTTACTGGTGTACTGCACTGTGAGCCTCAACCCTGAAAAAAACACTGAAACCTGACTCATGTATATTTTTCCCGTGTTTACTTCTATGACAATTTCTTTGTCTGCTAAGGCCAGGAGGCTCAGCTTTTGCTATGTAGGTCTTGTGTGCTGCTCAATTGCTGGCTGACACACAGGGTATAATTTAGAGACTGTCCCAGATACCTATATGGTACCATGGAAGTGACCCACATCTAGTGACCCGATGAGGAAAGATATTTATTACTTAATAATAAAACAAATACAATACCCGTTATTGTCCACTAACAGCATCGACACCTGTGAAAGAATTCCCATGGGTGTAATAAACAAACATAATTTAAACTGTATGGGGATGTAATATAAACTAGTGAAGTGCTCCACACCCCAGGATCTGTTTAGGTCTCTATTACTTCCTACTATCACACTGATTTACAATTGTGCTCCCTCACATGCCAGTCATGCTAACCTACAGCAACTGCGCTCTGCCACAAACCCAGTTACCTGCAGGAATCCCCATTTGGGACTGTTGCAAATGCTGCACTTTATTTAGATCTTTGTCAGTAGCCCATAATTCTGTTTATTTTTGGGGATTGTATTAACGTTGGACTGGTTTACAGAGACGCTTTGTACGATTGAATAAATGACACTAAATTTACAAGATTGGTCTGGATGAAGAAGACCCTTCGGCCCATCTGATGTCACCCCTCCAGGGCACCCACCTGTCATTCCCCCATCACTGCATCAAGCTGCTTTTTAAACAAGTCCAGCGTCCAAACCTCTACCACCTTCCGTGACAACTGGTTCCAGTCATTGATTACCTTCTACTTAAAGAAAAAAATTCCTGGAGTCTGTCCTGAAATTGACGTTTACAACTCTAAACCCATGTACTCTTGTTCTACTGTTATGATACATCCTAACGTATTGATCCAAGACGTAGTCCCCACATACAAGATCTAAATAGATGACAACACAGTAATGCAGTAATTAAACTCAATATAAACCTGACTAGCCTTCAAATTAAAGTTGTAGTTGCTGGTGTAAAAACAAGCAGGCTATCAGAATATAATTATTAAGAAGCTTTCACAATAGGTACTTTATCTTTGCTCTTCTTATATAAGGGAGATAGAAGAAAGTTTACCTTGGTGTTGAGTTGATCTGTCGTGTAGTTACTGTTTGTGAGGCTTTAAACTGAGCTTCCAATCTTGAATAGATACCACCAGCAAACTGTAAAGGTGAAGCACTATACATTTAATTACTGAATAATAAAATAAGTGGCTTATAATAGCCATGGTATTATTGAAACAACCTTGATCTGCACATCTTTGCTAGTATACTGGGTTTTTATATTCCCACTGCTGGTCACCAGTCCAACAAGTAGCAATAGCTCCATTTGCAGATAAGTCATAAAATGCTTATTTCAGAATGACGAGAATAGAAAGAATAGAAGATCTGTAGAAGACAGAAACCACAAGGTTTTACAAGAGTTTAGGACTTTTTTTATTGTAATACTCTGATAGATCATTAAAAAATATTTCCCCGAGGATAAAATTAAATGACATTTATTACTGGGTAAGGAATTTATAACGATGATATGACAGAACTGAACCACACTAAGTACCATCTGTTCTTCTCCAAGAAATATTTCAAATCAGCAATTCGGCAAAGGAGATCAGCCACCTTTCCATAATTGCAATTTTAATTGAGACTGTGATTACATTGTTCATTGACTGAAAAGTAATATGTAGTATCTGGTAGGTTTGACAGCCTAGAAGAGTGTAGATTCACAATAACATTGTTAAAATAAGACATTATAGTTGGCAAATGTCAAAACAAAATAGCAGTCTCACTTCCAAATTTAATGAACTGTAAGCACCTTTAAGTTAAGAATATTCAAAGTGCTTTACAGGAATTGTCTGCGACAAAGAGCAATTCAAGGATTATGAAAATCCAGGGAGACGGATTTGGTGAGGGAATTCCAGAGAACTGGATATTAGAAAGAAATCTGACAGGTAAAATAAGAAGCTTTCAGTAAGGCCATTGCACACTGCACAAATCGTCAGTTGACAGATGCAGAGATAACAGACTATATATTCAAAAATTATCTGGAAACATGGGGTGAGATGAGTGGAAAAATTGAAAGAGAGGGACATGCAAATGCTTACCATGTAAAATCTTGAGCAAGTAACCAGACATATAAAAGGTCATGCAAAACGTGTGTTGACACTGTCCACAGGCAATTATCAAGCAAAGCCTTGAATCCCTGAATATTGTTGTAATATCAATAAAACAGTTCATGCAATTTCCTCTTCTCCCCCAGTAAATCCTCCTAATAACATCTTCAATATATCAAGATTTTTAGTGAAATCTTACTGCCTGCATTAGATAATAATCCTTGCATTTCGCATCTTTCATGCAACGTGAAAAAAACAAACATAAATTGTTAAACTTTCCCTAAGTGGAAAAACTGATAATTGATCGTTACATTAAGTAAGCCAAAATACATTTTCCAATCAAGACTACATTGAAACTGTGCAACAATATGCTTGTGAAAAGGAAACAGATCATTCAAAGGAAATAAGTGTATTTCTAGAGAAATAACAAGAAGTTATATTTGTATACCATTTTTCATGTTGGGAAAAACACTCAAGGCACTAGACAGTCAAGGATTTGCACCCGAGCTGGGGGTTGGGATCAGCATGGGTGGAGGGCGGGGAGGGTGGGGGTAGAAGGGTGACCGAATGCGTGGTCAAAGAAGAGGGTCTTGAGATGGACCTTAAAGGAGGCAAAGAAGGGGGCGAGGCAAAGGGATTTTGGGATGGAGTTCTAAAGGTTGGGGTGAATATAGAAATAAGGCAACTGGAATCACTGAAGCCACTGTAAACGTGCTCTGCAATTTAGACATGAATCAGTCTGGTGTGTCCTTAAGATTGTTGTCTGTAAGATAGGATAATTCTTTGCCTAAAATAGGATGTAATGATTATTTCAACCTTCTCTTCAAGATATTACAACAGCAATAACTTGTATTTATTAGCACCCCTCACGCTGCGTAGCGTCCCAGAGCACTTTTTGTCAGATACTTTAGATAATATTTTCTTATTAAGATGTTACACTTCTGATACAGACAGCTGCAGAAAATTCTGCCTCTAAAACTAAACATGATGGAAATAAATCTAAAATGTGTTTCAGTAAACATTCTCAGTAGAACAGTGAGCCAAGATTTAGGATTGTACCAAAATGTATTTTTGTGAAGATGCTAATGAAAAACAAACTCACCTCTTTGCTTTCTTTTGCTTTACTCCGTTCAATTTTTTCTCCAAACCTGTTTTTTGTCAGATACCCAATTATTTCAACCAGCCTTCTTTGATCTGAAAATTAAAACCTGCATTAACACGACTTTGCTCAAATCAACAACATTTTACAATCACAATTATACAATCACAACAACAATTTTACATTTATTGCACCCAAGTGATTGAACTGTTTATATTGGTATAGTTAAAGGTTTGCCCGGGAATATACAGTCTATTAAAAAAGAAAAATTATTGCATGCCCGTAATTCCATCCACACATGCAGATTATTTTAGGGTGGGAAGTGAAGAGTGTCACTGGATGGGGATTAGATGGAAACCCAATTTAATTATTTTCTCCTCAGCAGGGTTATTAAAGTTAATGCCACTGCTGTACAATAATAATCCTTGCATTTGATATAGCGCCTTATCACATCGTTGAGACGTCTCAAAGCGCTTCACAGCATATATTGTAAAATGAATTGACTGCATTTTGTGGGCAAAACACAGCAGCCAATCGCGCACAGCAGTGTCCCACAAACAGTCGTGGATTGAGTGACTACATTTTTTTTTTTGAGAGATTATTACCCCTGGGAAGCAACCTGCCATCGACTAACAACAGGGTTTCTACTTGCTAACCACTATGCTATGGGACTCCACCCATAGTGTAGGGGTTAATAATAGAATCCCAGCTGAGATCAAAATAATTATATTTCTTGACCACATACGTTATTTAACTCACCATCTTCTCTTTGTGCATCCTGGTTGAATCGCATTGAGCGACTGCTATCCCATTTGGATTTCTGATAGGTTACACTGGCAATAAAACAAGCAGAGTTATATTACTCGAAATGTTTTCTATTAGTTATCATAAACAGACATACAGGTCTTCTCCTTTAATTATTCAAGCCAAATAAAATGTTAAACTATACTGCAAGCAGTTTATCATCAAGGGATTTTGTTTCTAAAAACTTTCTCATTGCAGCCTTGTTAATCAGATGAACTCTCCAAGTACTGTGTAGTACATAAGGATTGTGCACTCTCTCCTCGTTTTGAGAGGTGGATTCTAGACGTCAAGTTAATGCAATTATCGGAGTCCTGTAGCTCAGTGGTTAGAGCACTCGCTTTGCAAGCGAGAGACCTGAGTTCAATTCCAGGCAGAGGGCGAAACCTTGGGCCAGTTTCCTTACTCCACACGCTTAATGATAATCCCTCCAAAAAAACAATAATAAATTGGTCATTTTCAATCTACGACTGTTTGTGGGACATTGCTGTGCGCAATTGGCTGCCGCGTTCGCCCACAAATATACAGTCAATTCACTTTACAGTATATTCTGTGAAGCGCTTTGGGACGTCTAGAAGACGTGAAAAGCGCTATATCAAATGCAAGGATTATTATTATTATAATCGATAAAATAATAAAGCTCCAAATACTTCGGACCAGAAAGGGAAACTGGAGAGCGAGTCATTAGTGGCGAGAGCATAATGGGTGACAAACTTACATTTAGGAATGAAGATTATCGTGCAAAAAGGATAGCAATCTAAATTCATCCCTATCCTCACGTAGAAATCAAATTCACTTTGAAGAGAAGGCTTGTTTAGAATGAATCCAGAGAAGGACTTCCTGAGAAATCGTTCACAACTCAATCCGTGATATGGCCAAAGCACAAGTAAGATGAATACCAGTGCTTGAAGCTGATTTACATGTTTAAGTTCAAAACAATGTATATGTGAACTTGTAAAGAATAAAGGTTCAAGTCACAAGACAAGTGAAAGGTGTGGTCTTTCAAGCACTAATTCTAAACTTAGAAATTATGAGATATTTCTCAACCAAATATCCTTCCAAATGATGACTAACACATGAAAGCATGTCCTACTTCTGGAGTATTTTCTAATGTCATGTGAAAGAGAATGAATGCCCTAAATCTGACAATTTAATGCAACTTTTATTATTTTTGAGTGTTGGGTATTATTTTTTTTTGGTATTCTAACTTCAAATATAGAAAAGGTAATGGCAACATCAAAGCACAACACTTACGTGAAAGGTGATACATCTCGAAAAGATGACTGAAAATACAAAGCAGAATAAACATTTTTGAGGTGAAAATCACTGTAAAAGCCAACAATTTATTTTAAGGCAGGAATTCTAGCTGATCCTTTGCTCCAATCAATAGAAAAAAAAACTTTCAAAGTGAAGAGTTATGATAAATATATAACTGGGTTATAAAAAGGTTGGGATCATCATGGGATTCACTAACAGTGATTCAAAGTTGCTATCGAGAAATCCTTCTAGTAATTGGCAGTATGTCACAGTTCTTTACCACCTCAGTTGATGTCAGTTAACTCAGAACTGACTAGTCATCAAACTCAGGATCTTCTGGTCGGTATGAATTAGTGAGACATTATGTGATAAACCCACGTAACCATTATTCCTTGTCATTACATTATACCTTTTCCTTTTTCTGATTCGTAGGAGATGGTGTTGCCTTCTTTGCTGCTTTGTTGGTTTTCTTAATCTTTTTTGTACCTATAATGGGGAAGTAAGAGAGACTGGTAAACCTAAAAAGCTTGAAGCTCACAAAGCTATTCTTTTACTGGTAATATACAAATCTTGGGAACGTGTAAAGTCAACTCCTGAACCTATTAAAAAGATCCAACTAAAATTTTTAAATCTGATGGGAGTTCTTTCAGGAATGATACAATTGACCAATCGGAGTTTGGGAAATAACCTTTTTGACTGCAAAATTCCTTTCACCTATTTTGGAATTTAGTTTTAAGCATTTAACTATTTCCAGGTGTAGCTGGCACATAGGGAACTCTGTCTGGTTTGGATACTCCAAATGATCTGCACAAGTCAGACATCCGGCTGACCAAAAAAAGGTTTAAATTTACGCGCATAATTTTTTGCATTTTTTAAAATTGTGCTGGGCACCTTAGGAAATAAAAAAATTCCTCCTAGAAATTGCTGTTTTATAAAATAAGAGAAGATGGAGAAGAAATCTACAACGGATTGTTTTGAAAGGCTATATAATTTTATAGTTCTGTATTTACGCCTAGTGCCCTAGGAAATAGTTTTGAAAAAGCAAAAATCATGAGAAGGAGGTGAAAATCAATGTAACTGAAATCCATGCACTTTAAATGTAAATCTGTTGTACAAGTAATAGGGAGAAAGGGTGGAGAACGGGACTCCTAATGCCCTGACTGAACTGATAACAGTACCCTCTGCTGGGCAGTGGTGTATACAGTAAATCGGTCTCATAATCCAACTTAATATCCATAAGAAACCATTTGATGGATTTAAGCAGCTGCAGATAAAAAGGGTTTGTCGCAATCAGTGCCAGGTATTCACTTGCAAAAGTTCCTGAAACCCAATGTACAAAGTACAATGCTTTGTACTTCCAAGACTGATATGAATGGCAAAGGATAGTATATATTTTACATAATTCCATCAACTATTTTGCCAATGCCAAGAAAACTGGTAGAAATTTACTGAGAATAAAAATGTTTATAAATGCACAAAATGCTGAAAGGTTTGAATGATTATTTAAATATGGAAAACAAATTTAAGGTGAAACTTTTATTGACAGACAAATTTTTACCTCGTTTCTTTGTCAGTTCTTCATCATCACCTACTTCATCTTCAGTTACTTCTGAACCAGTGGTATACTCTTCATCTTCAGAATACAATATTTGTTGCTTCTAAGAGAAATGAGAGCTTTTATCTAACCGTGCAACTGAAAGCTTTTTATTTCTATTTAAAAGCTTTAACTATTTATAAGTTTAGCATAACAAGAGTCTAAGCCTATTCATAATCATTCATTTTCAAAAACATGGGACTAACTAATTCTATCTGGTAACCAAGCAGTGCTACAATCTGCCACGGTTCAAAAGTAATTGGGAAATCATTTGGAAAGGCAAAAAACACGAGGCGAAAAACAATGGAATTGAAATTCAAACATTTTAAAAGCATCTATAAGAAATGAGGGGGAGGGGGGAGAAAGAGGGAATTTTTTTTTAGAAAAGGGAAAGAACAGAATGTGATTAACTGATTGCAGTGACTTAGGAAACAACATATTTCAAGGAGTGTAAGGTAGAATAGAAACAAATTTCTAGTTAGCTGCACTTCCATCAAGTAACCCCAAATGTAACCATTTTGAACAGCTAAGATTTCATGACCCTTGAAATAAATGCAATTTATTTGAAAAGTTCAATCACAAAATGGGAACACGACAGATAGTCAATCGTTTAACCCGCAAAACTGAGGGGATTAACATATTAATGATCTTATCTGAAGTGGAAACTTATTAATAGTATTGAAAAGATTTGTTTTCATTTTTTGTTAAAAAAAAGGAAAGAATCAGGGCCATCCTGCAAACAGACAAAGTGTAAATACATGAATGAACTCTTCCCAATGAAAGTGAATAACTACTGGTAATCTGCAAAATTTCTCCTGAACTGTGGGGTCAATGAATCTAATTTTATTGGCAAATCCATATAATATTGCTCACATGTGTTATATGTACCCTAAGTCGGTATTAAGCAACTTGTATAAACAATTTTATAATTAATTAATTTTAAGTAGAACATATTTACTAAGAACACTGATTACTAAGCATTAACAACTGTAGAACGTACCAACTGCAAATTCCAGTTTTTCAAAAGTGAAAACTGCAGAGTAGTGAAAGAAGAGACAAGAGTGTGAAATAAAGTGGAAACCTATAAATAGCGTTCACACACACAGAGCAAGAAAACAATCAGAATTTGTCGATATTAAAATGCAAATTGCTGGGCTAGTTATTTAAATGGTCTGCAACAGGCTTTTCAGTCAAACATTTTGAAGAAGATTAAAGAGGCAATGTTTTGAGGGAACAAACTGGATAACAGTGTTGACATAGGCAAAAAAATATATATTGAATGTTTCATGGTGATACAGAGTTAGAGAAAGTCATGACATTGGTTCTCTGACATCATGCAATCTTAAAGCAACATCAGCTTCATGATTTTTCCAATAACAATATTGCAGTTGGTTTCTAAACCTCACATTTTAAAAATGCATGAAATGAACAAGTAAAACCTCCTTATAAGTCACTCACCGTCCCAATATTATAAGTAGTTTTAGACTGCCTCTAGCCAGCAGTTACAAATCATAGAGAGTTCTTGTGGGAATGAATCATACATTAGTAATGGAGGAGATATCTCCCATTGAAAACATGCCACAATGGATTTTTTTTAATAAAACATTGATTTTTTGTTTAGTAGATAAGTGAGAATATTGATTATTAAACAAGGCAATACTCACAGTCGTAACATCACCAATTTTCTGTCCTTTCCATAAATTTGATTCAACTATGATTTCAAAATCAAAATCCTTTTCTTCAGGAAGATCTATATTGGAATTACTAACAAAAATGTCATTTAAAATGCTATTCTTTGAGGAAAAAAATCATATTATGAATTAGTCTTCTTGAAGTACAGGTAATACTAACTTGTAAATATTGTCTACCAAAGAAATTTGTACCTCAGATATTAATCCACGATATAAAAAGGTTTCATCAAGTTGTAGATAATTTGTGTTAATTGTCCAGTTATACTAAGTTTGCATCAGTTTTGACAATTGTTGATGTTGAATCAAGAGGAAACTTTGCAGTATAACTACTCAATTAAGTAATTTTAAGGCACTTGGTTTGAATTAACAAAAGCATTGCAAGACTGACTACCTCAGGGAATTTGTATCACACCATTTAGGGTACACACCAGTTTTTGTACAGCTGTAACCTTTACATTTCCAATGTTAGAAAGGAGCAGTTGTCAGCTTTTCATTTTCACTACCAAGTAACCAAATATATTTCAAAACTGGTGAGCATCACAAGATGGTATTTTTTGCTTGGTGTGCTTTGTGCTCACACTTAAGTGTATCCTGATACCAAGGAGTTGCAGCCACCTCCCTGCTCATCTCAGGCAGCCAGTGGCTGTTTTTCATGAGAAAAGAACTGAGCAGTGTCTGTGAAAAAGCAAGATACGGCCAGGGGCTGGGATGTGAATACAGTATAAAAGAGGTGAACACAATACAACAACAAGGAGAGCAAGACGTTGTTGCCACTGAACAAGAAAGATCGGCCATCAACATATGACTGACATGATCTAATCTGCAACCATTTCTCCTGGAGGAAGGATTTGATCACCTGTGTATCCAAACTATGCTTCTCCATATCAGCTTTCATAAGGGAACTAGATCGATATCTAAAAAGAAGTAAACTACAGGGGTATGGGGAAAGGACAGATAAATAGGACTGAAATTATTGCTATTTAAAAGAGCCAGCACAGACATGATGGACTGAATGGCCTTCTGTGCTGTAATTTTTCAATGGTTCGATTGATAGGGGACAGTGGGTCAGCAATACTGTTACGTTTTATCATCCAGTGTCCACATTAAAGTTTACAAACAATTCTTTGCTTACAGAAACTTTGTATTAAGAATTAACAAACGTGACTTCCTGATATGTGCAGATGTAATTACTTGAAAACAAGATTCAACAACAACTTGCATTTATATAGCGCCCTTCACCTGAGTTAGTGACCTGGAGAGCTTCACAGTGGCGGAGTCTGACAATGAGCCAGGGGAGAGGTGATGATCAAAAAGGAAGGTCTTTAGGCGGGCTTTGATGTTGGGGAGGGAGGGGGCAAGGTGGAGAGATTGAGGGAGAGTTCCAGAGATTCGGGGTGTAGTGGCTGAAAGCGCGACCAACAATGGTGGAGCGGAGAGCACAAGGGACAAACAGGAGGCCGGAGCCAGCCGAGTGGTGGAGTGGGGGATAAGTAGGTCACATAGGTAGCGATGTGTGAGAGCATGAAGGGATTTGAAAACTAGTGAGAGGATCTTGAAATCACAATGTAATACAATATTATACAAATATTATGATATTTTCAATATTTGTTCAGCAATATTTATAGTTACCTTTCTTCTGTTTTTAAGAATGGCACACAGATAGTATCTTTATGTTGGATGAGATCATGGAATATTTTATTGCCTGGGTCTGATGAAGGAATACCATTATCACCCTGACCAGTCAAACTGATCACATGGTCTCTCATTTTACAACCCTGCAAGAAAATAAATCACATTAATTCAGAATATCAGATTACCTACATCCTCCCTGCACAATCCATGCAGCCATGGAAGCACACTCCACCTCACTGAGCCAGTCAGGAACCTTGGCGTCTTGTTTGACACTCAACTGTACTTTCTACCCCACATTTGTGCCACGACCCGCTCTACCTTCCCCCACCTCCGCAACATCACCCGGCTCCGCCACTGCCTCACCCCTCAGGCCACTGAAACTCTCATCCACGCAGTCATCACATCTAGGCTTGACTATGCCAACTCCCTGCTTGTCGGCCTTCCCAACTCTTCCCTCCATGGCCTTGCCCCTTCCTACCTTTAGACCTGTTAACCCCTTATCAACCTGTCTTCTCTCACCATTCAGCAGGCTCTGGCCTGCTCCACATCCCCCGCCCGGCCGGTCCCACCATTGGCAGTCGGGCCTTCAGCCTCTCTGCCCCACCTTTTGGAACTCCATCCCACATTCCCTTTGTCTTGCTCACTCCCTTGTCTCCTTTAAGGCACGTCTCAAAACCCTCCTTCAGAAGGTTGTGGGTTCAAGGCCTACGTCAGGACTTGAACTCAACAGTCTAAGATGACGCTCCAATGCAATATCGGGAGTTGGTGGTGTTGCATTGTCAGAGGCTTTGTCCTTCAGATGAGCCATTAAACTGAGATTGCATTGCATACACAGTCACTCCGCTTCACACTAAATCCTGTGAAACACTTTGGCAGGTCTCCTGAAAGGCGCTATATCAAATGCAATGACTATTATATTACAAACATTAGAGAACTGAAGAACAATGGTACATTAACCTTTCAGGAAATTTGTATCACTGCCCAGTTATTTTAGTCATGTTATCAAATACACACACACACCAGCTAAAACAACATAGGCTTGCCATTGCAAACACTCTCTGGTAAGCAGCTTGTCCAGGGCTGGGTTAGAAGGAACTGAGTGGAAAGAATCCCAACTCCCAGTGACTAGTCTGCTCTTCCAGTCCTGTTGATGAATCATGTTGGCATTGAGGAGCTACGGATTGATTCAATTCCTATATACCATTGCCAGGCATGTCACTTTGGAGCCTACACAAATGTGCGTGCGTGCATGCGCACACACACACGCGTGCGCAGACGCACACATGCACCCCTCTTGAAATTTCAACAAATCTGGTATGGAATGCACATTTCAATTTGTCTGGCAAGGAGTTGATATATTTACCTTACTGATTTGAGTAGGATCAAATCGTAGGACTTTCTGCTTGCAGCAAGGGTAAATCCCAATGCCAGGAGATGACAGTTCAGTGCTTACAGGAGGGTATATTGCCGATTCTAGATGATACTGGCAATGGGCGAGATCAGTGCAAAAGAAAACCTGAAAGAGAATTGAAAAGACATCTATAACCGAGAATAAAGGAAGAAAAATCACATTAGCAGCATCTAATGCCCTAAGTTCAATATTTATGATATTTTAATACAAAAAGCTTTAAAGGGTAAATCAATGATAGTTCACTCCCACCCCCGCAAAAACAAAACTGTTAGGAACCACATACGTGTGAAGGCCAATAGGTATTATACATAAATGGAAACATCAGAGAGAGTACATTTTAGATAACATTTAAGTGGTTCACCACTACTGTTAACATTATCACAAGGACACGGAGCATCCTCCTTTTCACTTGCATCTCCTTAAACTAACGTAAGCTAGTACAATTCACTAAATAAGATTACTGAGTGTCTCCTATTTCTACTCTTTCGTGTGGTCCTTCTACATGTTCGCTTAATGGCTGTTTTGTGGGACATGCTGTCCTGCATTCACCTACAAAGACACAGTCAGTCCACTTTACTGCACATTGTTCTCATATCACGCCTAATCTTATTTACTAAAACACTTGATTATTGAACCTGCAGTTGACAACACAAAAGCTTATGACTTACTTACTAATATGGAAAATGTCAGATTGTTAGATTCAAGTCTTGAAGTTTCCCATTTATTCTAAATTTCTTGTTCAAATACAAATAAAAGTGAAAACTTACTTTCTTACATCTTGTGCAGGTCAGACAATTGATAACTCCCCATAAACGCCAGTACACATCTTGCCAAGACTTCAAGTCTTCATAGAGACTATTCAGGTAGGTGTGCACGTCCCAGCTTTTATCTCTGCAAGAATTCAAAACACATTTTACCATTTGAGATTCAATTCCAAAATACTATTTTTGTAGCTGTTACTGCAATGGTTGAACACAACCGACAAAATGTGGAGTCCTGTAGCTAATAATAATAATAATCATTGCATTTGATATAGCGCTTTTCACGTCAGGAGGACGTCCCAAAGCGCTTCACAGAACACACTGTAAAGTGAATTGACTATATTTGTGGGCGAATGCGGCAGCCAATTGCGCACAGCAATGTCCCACAAACAGTCGTGAATTGAAAATGACCAATTTATTATTGTTTTGTTTTGGAGGGATTATTATTAGGCTCTGTGTGGAGTAAGGAAACTTGCCCAAGGTTTCGCCCTGACCTGGCTGGGATTGAACTCAGGTCTCTCATTTGCAAAGCGAGTGCTCTAACCACTGAGCTACAGGACTATGTTTTGTGGACGAAACGAAAGTCCCGATCTGTGACACTGACAAACTCACACAAACACACACACACACAGAACAGTCCCGATCTGTGTCACTGACACACTCACACACATTCACAGGACAAACCCGATCTGTGTGGCTGACACACTCAAACACACACCCACACATAACGGGACAGTCATGATTTGTGTCACTGACAAACTCAGTTAGTTGTGATGATTTGAGGAGGGAGTTCAAGGAGCTGGGAACTAAATTAAAACAAAGAACATCAAAGGTAGTGATATCAGGATTGCTGCCTTTGACATGTGCAAATTGGTACAGGAATAAGCAAATTAGAGAGTTAAATGCTGAGGGAGTGGTGCAGAACACAGGGGTTTAATTTTATGGGCCACTGGCCACTGAATTTTATGGAATTCTCTACCCCAAAGGGCTGAAGGTGCTCAGTTCTTGAACATATTCAAGACTGAGATTGATAGATTTCTAGTGGATAAAGCTCAGTGATTAGAGCACGCGCTTTGCAAGTGAGAGACCTGAGTTCAATTCCAGGCAGAGGGCGAAACCTTGGGCAAGTTTCCTTACTCCACACAGAGCCTAATAATAATCCCTCCAAAACCAAAAACAATAATAAATTGGTCATTTTCAATCTACGACTGTTTGTGGGACATTGCTGTGCGCAATTGGCTGCCACGTTCGCCCACAAATATACAGTCAATTCACTTTACAGTGTGTTCTGTGAAGCGCTTTGGGACGTCCTCCAGAAGTGAAAAGCGCTATATCAAATGCAAGAATTATTATTATTATTATAAAATAAGACTTTTGGCGGTTCCCACGGCATTCACTTTAGAAAAACAAAAGAATAATTATAAAACAGTATTTTAAGCAAAATGAAATAGCACTAACTACTTTCATTATTTCCATGAGCTAAATTAGTTCAAAGTTTGTAGTGTATTTGACATAATCTAGAAGCATAGTTGAACCCTGAAATGTAAATGCAATAAGAAAGAAGATTTGTCTGGATTGACTGTGGTTCGCAAAGTAGTTAATTTTTAACATTAGACTCACTCTAAAGTCAAGATTTCCAAGAGAAAAAAAGATTGTATTTAAATTCAACAACAAACTTAGAATGCACAACAATTATACTATGCTATCCACTCGTTCCATAAATCTATATGCTGCTAAGTATACAATTTATGATGAAATTCAATTCAGGCCTTTTTGCTAGATTACTTAAAATTTGAGGACAAATTTGGCAAGGGTAATTCAGCTGCAGGGACTGTAATGTACTCAGTCAATCCGTAAATCTGCTAGATTAAGCTCCAGGTCAACAAGCAATTTTCAAATAGAATATTACATTACTCTATCCTGAGCCACAGCCATCCAACAATAATACAGTGGACCCAGATGTCAACACCACTCAATTCTGCCACATGACAAGCTCCTTTTGCAGTTCATGTCATCTTTGTAGATGCAGAACTCAGCAATCACAACATGGGATGAGTTTTATTCTAACAGTTTTGTAGGGCTCACCACTGCCATTCCTCATCTCTGCAAAGAACAGGATAAATCCTAAAGGAAGTTTGACTGACAATACAGGAAACTGGAGTTTCCACACTGGGGGTGGTGAAAAAAAAATCGAATGAATTGTGGGAGACTCATGCAGATGTTTATTAAAATGGAACCATAGCAATGTTTATGATGAACACTATAGGAGTACTATGAAAATATGTTTAAAAAAATTAATACTGCGCCTTATTTTGTATTAATGCAGAACATTTAGTTAGTCTAAAGCGTAGTGAATGTTAAGCAAACAATCAAACATGGTGTAAATCGCAAGGCGGGGTTATGGTTAGTGATTGGGGTTTGAAAGCTTCAGCAAGGAGCATCCATCCTAATTAATGACCACAAGTCCCACTGTTTTACTTCTTAAACTTTAAACCGTACTGAAATGAATAGTATTTAGCCTCATCCATTATAATGAATTATATACCTAATGTGAAAGAATAGTACATTTCCACGTTTATTAATATTGATTTTTCCTGGAATACATGGAATCATCATCTCATTATCTTTGGTAAGAAGCTTCTTACACAGGCTGCATCTGCAAAAGAGAATGAAAAGAATGGAACATTCTCAGTCGAGAAGAGTAATTAGGAAAACTGACAAAAACATTTGAAAATTAGATTCCTAAAGTACCTGTACAATGTATCGGCACTCCCTGGCGAGTCTCGATCCTTGTACGTTGGATCAAACAATCGTTCAATCTTCTTGCAAAATATTTTACTGTATCACAAAAAAATTGGATAAAATAATAACTTGCATTGGAAACATTCAAGCAATGAGCCTCCGTTGATTTTTTGTTTTATTGGCCTAACTGTTACTTTATTTTGAAAATGTCTTTTAATTTGGCAAAGTTTATAATTATCAGGATGAAGAGAAAGTCTGGGGGAAATCAAAGACTTGTTTCACTTTTGTCAAGGATGATGACAAAAAAAATCTAGTGATTTGTGGGAGACTCATGCAGATGTTAATGCAAGTTCTAATCCTGGTGCAGGCTTGAGTCTACAGTTTTCTCGTGAAGTTATATTTTTACCTTTTAAATTTATCTTTTCGGTCCTTCACTTCATCAGCTTCATTATGTGTGAAGAGGTCAACAATACGTGTGGTCAGGGTTCCATTAATACAATTCATGTTACAAGACGTAGCTACAATGGCATTCATATTGTTGTGACAATAATGTATGCACTCTTCAACCTGAAGGAGCCAAGCATATACAGAAGTATGAGACAGTCTCAATGCAACATTTTTGTCAACGGNAAAAAATTACTTTTTTTTAACATCGCAGATTGGTGTAATCAACACAGAAATAGTTTTGTCTCCTACATAAATGTAGCCTTTATACACATGTTAACATGCGACGGCACATATCTTCATTTCAAAGTAGATACCACCCATGAAGTATTTTTCGCATATAAGACACTGTCTCATATTTGATAAATAGGCTATTCTGTAAAAACAAAATAAAGGATTATAATAAATAATGGCAGAATTAAAGAATTGTTCAGAAGTCAGTTGTGAAAGACAGACACAAATTTCTATATCAAATTAAACATTAATTTGATTCTTTCAAAAAATTTAACTCACCAAGGAATCCATTTTCAAAAATTCTGACGAAATGAGTATTGAAATAACATTACTGGGTTCTGAAAAAACAGCAAACATTTAAAAATGTTTTTTTTTATTGGGTCACCAATTATTAATCGAAAGTTCTTTTGAAAAAAGGTGAAGATGAATTCTAAAATCACATATATAGGAACAACATATTCAAAATTCTATCATAACAATCATTGTTACTGTAACAAAAATTGTACTGAGACAATACACTGAAATTTCAAAAGTCCTCAATGTTCAACTTAGCAGAACATATTTGACCACCCATAACTGTATTTATATAAATAATAATAATAATATATTATCTAAACCATGGTCTGTTTCGACTTCAAACAGTATTTTTGTGCTGGAAACATTAAGTAAATATAACAATGATATGCTAGGTATACACAACTGCAACTGACAAATCTGATGCATGAGAATATTGATTTGCCCTTGATCTCCAGAACAGGAACGCTTGTATTTACAATAAGCCCCTGCTTTATATTTGAAAATACAATTGCAAGTTCTTCATGCACATTTTTGAAGTAAGGCTTTTGTATAGCAAGGTGCAATTATGTTTAAATAACATTTAATCTTTGACTTCATTTTATAATAAAGCACTTTATTGAACAGTCTGACTGGCAATTAATGAAAATCCCAAGTATTGATTAATGAAACTGATTATTAGTACGTGTACATGCAAAGCTAATAGGTTCGATCTATGCCCAATGCAGTCAGTATTATTATTATTATAGAAATGCCCATAACAAAGCACAACAGTGAATGGCAAACAGGAAGTGATATGTACTAAGTTACAAATTGTAAAGCATAGTGAATTAATCTCTAAACAATGACCTGATTGCTCGATATAATTGTCCAGTGAAGTTTCTTTTCAGGTTTGATAATATGCAATTCAACTGAAGTTATAATAATACAAAAGCATGTCCTGGATAAAAAAAAGTGGCACATGACAGCACTATCATTCTTCATTTGACAATCATTCTCAGATTTAAAAGACTGGGCATTTTAAAAAAATTGTCAAAGAATTTATATTAAGAAATCACTATAAAGAAAATATATCAAATTACAAATCATAAACAATGTTCTTCTATACCAGAGTCAATAAGCGAAACACCTGGGTTCAATTCCAGACAGAGGGCGAAACCTTGGGCAAGTTTCCTTACTCCACACAGAGCCTAATAATAATCCCTCCAAAACAAAACAATAATAAATTGGTCATTTTCAATCCACGACTGTTTGTGGGACATTGCTGTGCGCTGCGTTCACCCACAAATATACAGTCAATTCACTTTACAATATATTCTGTGAAGCGCTTTGGGACGTCCTCCCGACGTGAAAAGCGCTATATCAAATGCAAGGATTATTATTATTATAATATTCACTCAAAACAGAGTGCGGTCTGAACACATACCCAGTTTTGGTCGTTCTTTATGCCCTGGGTGATGTAGTTTCCTCTTCACATAATTCATCAGCCAATCAAAGATGTGAACGTCACAGTGCACCGATATGTCTACTTCTTCCCAGCGTTGTGAATCAACGGAGAGATATTCGGCAAAATACTTCATCTCACTGATTAGTAAGTCCCGAGGACAAACATAATCACGCTTTAGGTTTTTGGCTTCATCGCACACATGAATTACCATGTTGGGCCTTGCATTTTTTTTAAAAAAAAAGGTACAATGAAATAAAGAATTCAACAATCAATAATTCAAAAATTACAATTGAGATAAATTGTTTTTTGTCCATTTAATCTCATATTTTCAGAGCACCAGCTCTTCCCACTTTAGCAACAAGTTGTTTCTTAAATGAGTGCAGTATCCTGGTGTCAATGAGTCTCTCTGTTAACACACTCTGGTTGTTAAAGAGCGCCTTGGGACGTCCTCCCGACGTGAAAGGCGCTATATAAATGTAATCCTGTTGTTGTTGTTTTGCAGAGAAAAACTTCCTGGTCTAAAATTGCCCTTCATGATCATCTAAACCTGTGCCTTCTTGTTTTGCTGTCTGATCACATCTGAAAGTATTGTTTCACATTTGGTTTCTCCATTCCATTATGCACCTCCTTAGAAATTTACATTGGAATATGCAGGACTGAAAGAGACCACCGTCATCCAAAGCTTATTTTTTTAAAAAATCTTACATTCCTTTCATAACCCTCAATTGAATTGTTCATTTCATCAAGTAGCATTAACATTCCTCTTGAATCTGTAGACACAATCTACCTCCACTGCCTTTTTGGCTAGTCTATTCCGTATATTCAACACACTGAACATTTAGACACGCTTTCAAACCTGTAAACCAACGAAAACCTAAATCTTTGCTGAACTAGTTGACATGATTCTTATCAGTAGGAAAGGAATGAAAAGAGAGGCAGCATAGGATGGCTCCTCTGACGAGCAGTCAACCTCCCCTTAAAATAATTTGCCATGGAATTTCAATGTAATGAGATCAGCCTCATCTTCAACTCTTTCAAGTGGACTCAATGAAACTACAGTATTGCCCTGAATTTCAGATATGAATATTTGCACTAGAACTCTTAAGCTGCATGGATACAATGATCATGCACAGGTGGAAATAAACAAATTTAAAAATCAGGACTATTGAGAGAACTTATTTTATGAACCAAAATTTGAATCTCAAGTCATACAGTTTCATCTTAAGCATTTAAAATAATTAGAGGTTAATCTAATTTGTACTGAAATCTATAACAGCCCTAGCGTTCCCTCGACATGAACATGGTTCTGCAAAATCTTTCCACTCCTTCGCAAACCAATGTAAACTCATTAAAAGGAGAATTTATTACTTACCCATGGTTTTCATCTTTCTTGTGCCCATCTTTATCAGTGGAGCTGTCTTGTCCTTCTACTGTACAATTTCTCCCTGAAGATACCACAGTCCACCGTTAAATATTTCATAAAATTCAAATTACACACATGTAATTATTATTATAATATGTAATCATAGGAAAAAACTACAACATATTGCATTTATATAGCACCCTTCACACGAGTAGCATCACGGAGAGCTTAACAGTGGTGTGGCTGGATGCCGAGCCAGAAGAAGGTGACTGAAGGCACGGTCGAAGAGGAAAGTCGTCAGGTAATTTGACGACGGGCAGAGAGGGGGCAAGACGGAGAGATTGAGGCAAGCAGTTCCAGAGATTTGGCGCATTGGGCTGAAAGCACAACTGGCAATTGTGGAGCAGAGGGAATAAGGCACGTGCAGCAGACCAGCTGAGTGAAGGCGGTGGCTATGGAATGGGGTGTGAGCAGAGAGGTTGGGTGAGCAGCGCCTTGGGACGTCCTCCAGACATGAAAGGCGCTCTATAAATGCAATCTTGTTGTTGTTGAGGTGACAGGGTGTGAAGAGATTTGAAAATGAGTGAGGATCTTGAAATCGGTCAGTTCTGCAACAGGAAGCCAGTGGAGGTTGGCAAGAACTGGGGTTACGGGAGTGCAGAGCCTGGTATAGGTGATGACACAGGTGGCAGATGTTGAATCATTTGAACCTTGTTAATAGTGGAGCTGCTTGGGGAGCAGATAGAGGGTAAGAAAGATACTGGGGATTGAACACAACTCCAAGGTTGTGTACAGGTTCAGTGATTCTAAGGATCAGAAAAGCTGGTGAGAAGACGTTGATGGGAGCCAAGGAACTTGGCTTCCTTTTTGTCCATGTGCGCTCATCCAGACCTTGATGTCAGAACATCAGTAGCAGTGGGGTCACGACTACAGGAGGAAAAACAGATTTGGGTATCATCCGTTTAAATATGGACGTTTACCCCATGTCTGTGGATGACATCACCAAGAGGGAGCATGTAAATGAGAAAAAGGAGGGAGCTGAGAATATACCAAAGGTGACCTTGCAGGGGCGGGAGAAATCATTAGAGAAGTAACTATGGTGTAACTAAAACAAGATTGCAATAAGCAGCAAGTAAGTTAATAGGTTCAAATTAAAAATCACTTTAGATGCTTCGACTAACAATTCTAGTTTTTCTTTCAGGTACGTCAACAACAAAACTACATTTGCTGAGTGGAGGGAGCGGGCAAGTTGGTAGGGGGTAAGGTAGTCATATATATGAGCTCCCAAATAAAAATAATATTTTGATATTGACCAAAAGCTGCCTGCGTACTTCTCCTCTTGCACCATTGCAAAGGTCAGCTTTCAACACATTGCAACTCAATTCGCCTTTGATTGATCACAGGCCATTCTGGTTGCATTAAAGATGTTTACATCAAGTAACAGAAGATAAAGATCAAGGGGTGTGATGAAAGTGTTTTCCAAGAACATATAAACATTTGATCTTTTTAACTGTCACTTATCCTGATATAGTATGTACTGTTAGGACTGGCATTATAAATTGACGTCTCCAACAACAGATTTATACCATAGTTACTGATTTAAGGTGGTGACTGCAGCATAGCAAAGTCACGGTCTGCATAAAGGTATTGTACAAACTGTAGCCTTGATCTACATGTTATCCAGACCAAGCCCTCATCAAAGTTCTGCCTGGAGCAAGAGCCTTGTCTTGTGTTATCCAACCCCTAGACCCAGTACTATCCCAAATCATTTGAAAAAAATACATCTGAATTAAACAGATCAGACTTAAACACTATTGACTTACAAAAATAGTTAATGCAATTGTCTGAGCAAGTTCCAAGTATTTAAATCCTACACACAAGTACATATTTAATATCTTAGCTATTATCTTAGCTAATATCTTAGCTATTAAAGCAGCATTAACCAATGGCATCATGTAATGCTATAAAAGGTTACACTGAGCTGATGTAACTGACCTGCTGTGTTAGTGTTATTTTGCACAATAGATAATCTAGATTCTTCAGCTTCTCCCTTCGTGTCCAGCAGAGTTGATTTAATATATGTGGCTAGTGAAGCATTCCCTTCACATTGGTTTGGGTCACAGATATGGGGCATGATTCCATTGCTTCTTAGCTCTTCAAACCTCTTGGCACACTGCAAACATTTCAAATAATTCAGGCTTTAGTAAGAAACATTTGAATTTTTTCCAGTTGTCATCTCAATCTGTGCTCTCTTTACATAGCCCTGAACTTGAACTGTCCATATATTGAAACGGATGAGTTAGAAAAAAAACAATAATAAATTGGTCATTTCAATCCACGACTGTTTATGGGACACTGCTGTGCGCGATTGGCTGCCACATTTTGCCCACAAATATACAGTCAATTCACTTTACAGTCTATTCTGTGAAGCGCTTTGAGATGTCTAGAAGACGTGAAAAGCGCTATATCAAATGCTATTATTATTAAGAGAAAAGGAAATAGTACATTCCATGTTTTATAAAACAATGTGATAACAAAGAGAAAAATGATGCACCTGATTGAGTTCCAAATGTAGCTTTGGATAAGGGAATAAGATAAAAAAGGGAATGCTTTAGAAAATGAATGTTCAAAAGTACCAAGAGTACTGATTGGTTGCCAAATTTTAATTGCCAAAAAATAAAATCACTGATGAAATACAAGAATAATCTTTGCGCTTGATTTAGTGAGTGGGAAGAATCCCTGCTCCCAGTGGCTGGTCTGCCCCTTTCAAGTCCTGTCGAAGAGCTAAGCTGGCTATCAACATGTCAAACGTACCAAAGCACATCAGAGATTTCTGTAAAGTGTAATAACTGTGCATTTGTAGGCAATGACTGAATAATGCAGTATCAAGAAGCTCTCCTAACACTTATCAGACACGTGCATAGTTAGTAGTTCATCTACACAATTTCATCAGTAAACTCTTTTGGAAGTTTTATTATTTTATGGCATTACAGAAAAATGTCTCAATGATTAAGGTCCATAGAGACCACCTAATAACATTCTAACAATATCAGACTAGCTACTGTATTTTGAAAATCTATTTAAAACCTGAAAAGATAGAAACTGTAACTTACAGTACCTGTTTGGCTGTGACTCCTGGCACGAGTCTAGCTACACTTTCCCAGTTGATAGGCTGGGCTACTCCTAACAAAGAGCGGAGAATCATATCCAGCACTATTCCTCGGTTCCCACAAGGAAATGGGGCACTTAAGGAACATGTGTGATTCATCTTGTTTCTACTAGACTGAGAAAAAGTAGTAATTAAATTAGAAATGTGAACAGTAGCAATCACTAGTCACTATAGCGAGCCCCAGTGGAAAACATTAATTTGATCTTGTAGATAATGTAGCATATCCAGATACATGTACAATTATTTTTATGATAAGTTGTATACAGTACTTGGATTGGAGGGGAAGACAATTAGTTTAGAATTTGAAAAATATGTTAATTAGTTTAGAATTTGAGATATGCATTATGAGATTTACTTCAAGAAGTAATTGTAAAATTGATACAACGTCATCTGAAAGTGTAGTGCAGGAATAGTAATTCGGTTAGCTTCAAAACCATCAACAATATTCAGAAGCTACTAGGTATGAATGGGAGAGTTGAAAATCTAATTAGTGCATATATACTTAAAAAAAACTTATTTTATATATGAATATATACTGTATATGTTCATAAAACATATAGGAAACAAAGACAAACATTCTTGCGACCAACATTATGGTGATCAATAAGTGTATTGTTCAGGGTTAATTTTGGAAGCATGGTGTGCCCATTTATTTTTAACAACTTATCTTTTCCCTTTCGTTACTTATCTAAACTATTCACTAAACAGTGACCAGGCACCCCACAGTCTTGGCTATGTCAATGGAGCCAGACATTCAGAGATTGACTCTTTATTTAACCCTAATGTTTATTCATATTGATGACATTACCCAACACAAGAGTAAACTTAACAGCAGTGTCTCCATTGCTGTCACTGGTAAAACAGCAACAATCAGGCTGCGAGCTACAGTATGTCAGATATTGTTCCTGTCGTAATACAATTTGCAGGTTGTATTAGGAGTTGGGAGAGAACACATATAATACTGTCAGCTTTCCCAGCCATACAGTGTTGTGGGAGTGAAATACAATTACCAATTACTGAAGATAGTTTATGCGATCAGGTGAACAAGCAATCAGAGCCTAAAGGGATTGGAAATTCACAATGAATTTGACATTTTAATTTCTCAGTACATTTTGAGAACATTATTTTCATATTTAAAAAACACAATAACCTGAGCTTCGAAAGCAACTTTCACATAGCTGCATGTCTCAAAGTGCTTTACAAAGAGGGTGGAGAAAACCAAGGGTGTAAGTTTGAAGATGTTGACCAAAGGTCTGGTCAAAGAGGAAGAGGATTTATGAGGATTTTGAAGGTAAAGACAAAATGAGGAAGACAAAGGGATTTTAGGAGTGTGAGCATAATGGCTACAAATATATTTTCAACATAGGAAACAATTATCCACATACAATAGATCTGTATTACTAGTCTATGAGTAATTCCGGGCCATGATTAACTCCACACTCTCTTGCACAGTGGCTTTATATTTCATTGCCCATTTGTGTAGCAGATCTCTAGCTTAAACTTGTATGCATTACTTCACATGTATAGCTCATGTGTCATTTTAAGGTTATATTTTAAGGATAGCTTTGTTGTAAATGATGAAAAGGAATAAATGAAACGACAAAGAATAAAAACTTATAATTTTATGGATTTTTAAAAATATTTTGGAAGACAACAACCTGCACTTATGAAGCACTTTCACATAGGCTGCATGGCTCAACAATTTTGCATGATGACCTTGGATTGGAAGTTGAACAAAGCAATAATTGTCTTTAATCAATTTTATACCCAATCACCTTCTGCTGATATTTTAAACTGATACTCATTTACAAATGAAACTACAATTAAAAGTAGAGCAAAGAACCCAGTAACATTTTGAAATCCACATTAACAAGAGACAATGAGAACAAATTTACAGATATGCTCATTTAATTTGCACTCTTTCCTCCACGTTGAATACGACCAGGCATGCTGGACACTGGTTTTGTCAACCAGTGACCAAAAATGGAAATGTTAAGACAATTGAAATAAGAATCCAATAATCCCCCAGACAAATTGGTCATTGGTAATTGGTCATTCACTTTATTGCTGTCTGTAGCCATGTGCAAATTGGCTGCAGCGTTGCATGCAAATGCAGAAATGATACTTCTCAGTAAAATACTGTGAATGATCATCAGAACAGAAAACTACAATAATAACTATTGCATTTAATATAACATTTAATCAAATAGTCAAAACATCTGAAGAGTGCTTCCCAGAATTTACTGCAGAGCATAATAATTATGTATTTTGCACATAGACACAGCAGACAATATGCGGACAGCAATGTCTCACAAACACCCATTTTATCTGGGCAGTTGTTGGGCAAGACACTGGTAGAAGCTCCCCTCTCTTTCCGAAGCTGGACCCAGATAATGAAAGAAAAGACATTGGCAGGAAGTTGAGAGCAATTATCGACACCAAGAAGCAACTGAAGGCCGACTTAACAGATTGCAAATAAGATCTAATGGACTCTGGTATTGCAGAAACTGTCAAGACGGACACAGTTACTACAATAATTCTCCTTACGTTTGGCATGAGCACCTTTCACACCAGGAGGACGTCTCAAAGCGGGATATACCGTAGAGTGGAGCGACTGGGGATGTGTGGGCATACAGCAGCCGTTACGCCCAGAAAGTACACACTCAATCCACTTTACAATGTACTCTGTGAAGCACTTTGAGACGTCTCAACGACGTGATAAGGCGCTATATCAAATGCACGGGTTGTTGCTATTTGCACGCAGCCGTGTCCGACGAACAGCGCGATACACAACTACATACTAAAAGCCCACACCACGCGCCTCGAAATCGAATCAACTCTAAATCGGAACCTAATCTTTTGTACAAATAAGCAAAACACAGCATTGGTCTTTTTTTAAAAAAAATGAAAACTTTCTTTTGACTGACATTCATTCATTCATTCAAAAAAAAATCGACTTTAAACTGGAATCTGAATCCCTCCAGGTTTGTATGTACAGGGAATTAAAAAACAATCAGATTTCCAGCACTCATTTCAGAGATCTTTATATATTTATATATATATTAGAATATATATTATCTATATATTTCTGGATATAGCAGTGGATTCAATGCATCTGTAGCTCAGTGGTTAGAGCACTCGCTTTGCAAGTGAGAGACCTGAGTTCAATTCCAGGCAGAGGGCGAAACCTTGGGCAAGTTTCCTTACTCCACACAGAGCCTAATAATAATCCCTCCAAAACCCAAAACAATAATAAATTGGTCATTTTCAATCCACGACTGTTTGTGGGACACTGCTGTGCGCAATTGGCTGCCGCGTTCACCCACAAATATACAGTCAATTCACTTTACAGTGTGTTCTGTGCAGCGCTTTGGGACGTCCTCCCGACGTGAAAAGCGCTATATCAAATGCAAGGATTATTATTATTATTATTATTATTATTATTATCTGATCTGCACCAGGTCCCCCCCCCCAGTGCAGGCGGAGACACAGAGGCGGACGCGCCGCCCTTCAGTTCAGGGGACATGGAAACTAACTACAACGAAGCTGAGGACCGGGTCGCCGCCGCCGCCATCATCATCATCATCATCTTCAGCATCGCCGCCTCCTCCTCTTCCTCCTCCTCTCCCCCTCCCCTCCCCTTCCCGCCGACACCCGCTCCGCAGTCAATGCGCCGGTTTACAAACCGCCGCCGCCGCCGCCTGTGGCGAACTCGAGACTCTCTCTCTCTCACCCCTCCATCTCTCCCTCTCTCTCTCCTTCCCTCCCGTCTGCATTGACAGCGATGGACGCGACGCGACGCACCTCGGACAGCGCCACTCACTCGCCGTCCGCTGCTCCTGTCGTTATCCGTTTCCATTCATGGCTCTCTCGCGCTCTCCCCCCCTCTCGCGCTCTCTCGCCCCGGTTCTCGCCCCTCTCCGAACCGCCACCGTCCGCGACGCCCGGAGTGACGGTTAGCGGCCACTGCGCACGCGCGCAAACCTCCCCACGACTCTTCCGACCGTTGGGATCAGCGGTGGGTGTGCGCGCGCGCGTGGGGGGGGGGGGAGGGAGGGAGGAGGGGGATGACCTGCCTTCCTCTGATTGACGTCGGCCACAACCAATCCGCGGCTCGGACGGGTGCCGCCCGGGGCGTGGCGGGGCGGGGACAGGGCCGCGACTCGCCCAATGGGAGCTGTGGGCGGGAGCGGGACCTCTTTGTGGGACGAGGAAGAATGAGTCCCGGCAACGCTTTAACGTTGGGCTACTTTTTGGGGGGGCGAGTTTTTGGGCTGTAGACGTGTTTGAATGTCTGGCTCATGAGAAGGGGGCGGGGGTGGGGCGGGGGGGTGATGACGCGGGGGCGGGGGGGCGGCTTTGCGTGTCGCAGTGTTTTGTTTGCCTCCCGTGTGTTGTGTTGTGTTGCTCCGCCCGCCCGGGGCCCGGCCTCTTCACCTCTGCCCCTCGCTCTGAATACCGCCGCACTGCAGCACGTCAGGCGTCCGTGCGTTACCAGGCAACGGGGATGTCGTGCTCTCTCTCTCTCTCTCTCTCTCCAGCGGGTGCGGTGCGGGGGGCGGAGAGGAGGCGAGAGCCCAGACGAGGGCGAGGAGCTCAATTCAGCGGCGAAACAGATCAAGTGTGTGTGAGTGTGGGAGGGATAATGGCCTGAGCTGACAGCCTGTGACTGAAGAGTTCAGAGTTATACCAACACAGTCCTCACCCTTCCACACCACCCCCCACACACCACCTCCCCACAGCCCCCCCATCCCACCACCCCACACACCACCAAACCCTCCTACACCAACCCCCCCTACACCAACCCCCCCTACACCAACCCCCCCCTACACCAACCCCCCCTACACCAACCCCCCCCTACACCAACCCCCCCCTACACCAACCCCCCCTACACCAACCCCCCCCTACACCAACCCCCCCCTACACCAACCCCCCCTACACCAACCCCCCCCTACACCAACCCCCCCTACACCAACCCCCCCCTACACCACCCCCCCTACACCAACCCCCCCCTACACCAACCCCCCCTACACCACCCCCCCCTACACCAACCCCCCCCCTACACCAACCCCCCCCTACACCAACCCCCCTACACCAACCCCCCCCTACACCAACCCCCCCTACACCAACCCCCCTACACCAACCCCCCCCCTACACCAACCCCCCCCTACACCAACCCCCCCCTGCACCAACCCCCCCTACACCAACCCCCCCTACACCAACCCCCCCCTACACCAACCCCCCCCTACACCAACCCCCCCCTACACCAACCCCCCCTACACCAACCCCCCCCTACACCAACCCCCCCCCACACCAACCCCCCCCCCACACCAACCCCCCCCACACCAACCCCCCCCCACACCAACCCCCCCCCCCACACCAACCCCCCCCTACACCAACCCCCCCTACACCAACCCCTCCCCACCCCCCCCCCCACGCCACCCCCCCCTACAGGTGGTCAAGGTGCCGAGTTCTGCAGGACATCACCCTGATTCAAAAACGATGACGACAACTTGCATTTGCGTAGCGCCCCCCCACCCCCCTTTCACATCGAGAGGACGTCCCAAGGCGCACACAAAACCAAGAGCCAGTGAGCGGGTGGGATTAATCGGACATGCATTGCTGAGGTGGTGCCAAGCTTTGGGATGTTGCTTCGGGATGCGCTGAGACAATGCCCTTTGCACTTGTAAACTGCTGCTCATACTGGTTTACAGGTACAAAGGGTAATAATAATAATAATCCTTGCATTTTGATATAGCGTTTTTTATGTCTTCTCGACGTCTCAAAGCGCTTCACAGAATATGCTGTAAAGTGAATTGACCGTATATTTGTGGGCGAAATGCGGCAGCCAATTGTGCACAGCAGTGTCCCACAAACAGTCGTGGATTGAAAATGACCAATTTATTATTGTTTTGTTTTTTGGAGGGATTATTATTAGGCTCTGTGTGGAGTAAGGAAACTTGCCCAAGGTTTCACCCTGCCTGGAATTGAACCAAGGTGTCTCGCTTGCAAAGCAAGTGCTCTAACCACTGAGCTACAGGACAGGTAATTTCAGGATAGACACCTGTTTTATTTCCTCGCAGCCTGCTTTCTCCCACACTTGTGAGACATTCTCCCTTCAAGGATACAAGTCTATAAGTACACATTGTGTTGTTAATGCTGTTATTGAATTCCCATGAATATTAGCAATTATATTAAAAAGAAAAGCTATTTCTGCTTCAAACCATCTGACCCATTTCAGGAGGAATGTCTGTCAAATCCAGAAATTCTACTATGAAAGCAGGAGCGACACAAGTAGTTGGTAGCACGAAACACAACAGTGCTGCCCCAGGACTGTATATACTAGCTGAAGACCCTTCATTTTTTAATGGTGTAACTGGAAAAGCTATGGCCATACCAAAGACAAAATCATTAACTACCCATTTCACCACTGTTAAAATACCAAAGTTTGGGATATCAAAGAGAAATTGTGAAGGAGATAAACCTGAAAAAACTTCCAAAGATGCAACGTTTCAAGTAAGATACAATTCTTATTTAATTTATAACTTTATGACATTAGATCAATTTTCAGTTGTATTTTGACATCAAAACTATTGTTTAAAGTTGTTGAATTAAGAATGTTGGTAAAACTGTCCCATATGTATCAATGAGAGTATAGTTACTGGACAACGCAGTCTCTGATCTGACCATGCATATAACTCTTTAATTCATTGGAATTGCAGTATTATTTGGCCATTGAATAAATACATAAAACTCTCACACATTCTTTTGCAATTTAATGAAGAAGTGAGAAATCACGTAGACTGGAATTCCCAAAGAGCTCAAGTGTCATTCAGGAGCTCTGACCCATTGGGGATAAGGTTCAGTGTCCCTTTTATCAATTTAGTATTCTGGAAATCCAATGGAATTATTTAAAATAATAATAATAATTCTTGCATTTGATATAGCGCTCTATCATGTCTTCGAGACGTCTCAAAAGGCTTCACGGAATATACTATAAAGTAAGGTGACTGTATATTTTGTGGGCAAAACACAGCAGCCAATTGCACACAGCAGTGTTTCACAAAACAGTTGTGGATTGAAGTGACCAATCTATTTTTTTGAAGGAATTATTATACAGCGAGTAAATGTGGCATAGAATTAGCATTCAAAAGTTCTAATCGTCTGAAATACCAACTGAGTATAAGTGATTTATAATTACATTTTTATATACTTTTTAACTTGTGTATTACATGTAGGTTTCCTTAGATGAACAGAATCAAATGCTGGAAAGAATCTGTATGTTGGAAAGAGAAATTGTGCAGCTGAAAACACAATTAGAAGAAAAGGATACAAGCTTAAACAATGTCACCAAATTAATGCAAGATAAGGTAAAGTTAGTTCTTTGAAACATGTTCAACCCACTGTTCAGTTTTACATGTATCTAAACCATTTTTCATTTTCCAAAAGCAATATAAGACATTCAAAATGGGAAGCTAATAGCCTCTAATAATACGTTTACAGGCAACATGTACACTTAACTAGTTGAATGAGAAAGAACTGTCAAAGAATACTATGGCAGGTCCCTTGTCAAAATTGGCAGCTTAAAGATATTGGAATTAGTGTAGCACAACACTGCTATGAATTATTCAGAAGAACTCAAAAATGTCTGTACTTTGCTCACTGGAGATACCAAATTCTGCTGACACTTAATGCTCACACAGAGGAAATGCCACTTAGATGGGGTACTGATAGAACCGTACTCCAGTATGAGCAAATACTGGCCAGGACACTGACAAATAGTGTCACTCTACAGTAAATCCTGTGAAGTGCATTTGGGCATCCTCCTGATGTGAAAGGTGCTTTATCAAATGTAAGGAGTATTATTATAAATAGATTTACAACTCACAGATATACCTCTTTCAGTAACATACATGTTTTTGGTTGTGTTAACTTAGGATGGGGATATCCTTGATAGCAGTTGTTTTCCTCAGTTGACATTTTCTGCAGATTTCTGAACACGCTCAGTTGGTGGAAGAAGAACAACAATCTCATGAACTGACACGAGAGAAGCTGGAACAATCAGAAAATGTGGTAGCAGAAAAGATACAGTTACTTCATGATCATCAAAAGGAGTATGAACAAAGTACTGAGGACCTTAAAGAGTTGGTTAGTAGTTTTCAAACCATGTGTGGTGAAAATGACTGGAATTTGCTTTTCCTGAACCTGACTATGCATTTGTTTCTTTCATTTCACTGCAGCACAAAGTTAGAGTGGCTACAATCATAAAAGAGACTACATCAGAGATTAACTGCAGAGATGAGAAGATTGCCAAGATGAAGCAACAAATCTCAGAGATCCTAAAAGGAAAATCTTGGTACTTCCTCCCCCACACCATCATTAATTTTTTTCCTTTTCTTTCGTGAAGATGGTAACTAATGTTGGGCACGGGTCTAGAAATATTAGAAACTCTCATGTATCTCACCTAAGCGGTTGTAATGTGTGAGCATCAGTAGGCTATTCAAATGAGAAGGACATGTGCTCTTATTTCTGCTCCATCTCAAAGACCCCACACTCATACTTTCACATAAAGGTTACCGGAGGATGATCAAGAGCACCATATTTTCTGCCTCCCTTATTTGGGGGTCACTGAGGCCAAGAGTAGCACTTCTACCATTGCTCCAGTTGATATTAGCTAATGTGGCACAGACAATAGTTTGAAAATTAGATCTCCCTAGTTTATATAACAGTAGTTACAGAAGTATAAATATATATAGGACTATGTGGAAGACTAAAGATTCCTTGTTGCTTAGAGATACAACATTTTCTTTGAAGCTATCTGTCTTTTGTTCCCATGATTTTCAGGTTACATTGGGCGCTGAACTCACTGCACCAACCAATTTTCTTTCGNTTTTTACGCTCCTGTGTGGGCACACTTTTTTTTAATCCTTACATCTCACACCAATCTTTGTGTCTCCTGTAGCAAAATTCCCAGTAATACCAGATTTTGTAGCTGCTCATAAAAACGCACGTTTATGGACCCGGAGATGGTTGGAAAGAAACTGCAAGTGTTTGTTCCCAAGCACATTTGGCTCATTATCTTAGAGGCAGCAGGATGAAACAAATGGATTTATTCTAAACTTTTCACCCAAAGTTTCTGCAATTCACCACAAATTTTGCAGTGTAAAGCGGGATTGAAGAAGTACAAATTGAGCATTCTAGTCCCTGCTTTAGACCACCCAGAGGAAGTAGCTTCAAGGGGCAGCTCAAGGAGCTCTGAGATGCTATCCTTCATGAAGGGCCTATATAAATGCAAATTATTGTTATTTTCTGTGATATGGCACTGTATCAAACGTAAGTCATTTATTTCTGATTAATGAGAACCATTTGTGTTTTTAACACTATCCAACTAAATGACATCCTGATTGATTAATTACTGTAAGATATACTTCTCAAAGCTAAATTTGGCTGACTTTGATGATTTACACATATAGTAGAATTTTCCTGTTTTCAAATAATCATTGAGATTATTGTCAAATCTAGCAGCCACTGAAAATAACAGCTATATTCCTTTACCATTGAAGTTTATATAAGACTGTGCATATTTTCTTTCTGATCGAAAAAGGGAACGACAGGAGCAATTGAATGGAATGAAAAAGGAATTAAAGAGTGTATCAGATGAAGTCACTGTACTTGAAAGAAAACTTGAGTTGCAAAAGTCTCTCGAACAGGTAAATTCCATAAATGAACAAGCCCAATCGCCGACTTGTTTAGAGTGACCAGTGATTTTCACGATAAAGACACCTGTGATAATTAGATCCTCTCCCATTTACCCTGATGACATAATTGGAGATTTAACACATGTAACATGGAACTTCATTTTCAACACATTATTGTTCTTGTGCTCATCTGTTACACTGACTCAGGTTACATAGAATTATACAGCACAGAAGGAGGCCATTCGGCCCATCGTGTCTGTGCCGGCTCTTTTAAAAGAGCTATCCAAATCAATCCCAATCCACTGCTCTCTCCCATAGCCCTGCAAACTTGTCCTCCCCAAATAATTATCTACTCTCTTAAAAGTTGTTAGGAATCGGCTTCCACCACTCTTTCAGGCAATGCATCCAGATCCGAACAACTTGCTGTGTGAAAACATTTCTTCTCACCAACCCTCTGTTTCTTTTAACAACCATTTTAAATCATTTCCTCGGGTTACCAAACCACCCACCAGTGATAATAGTTTCTCTTTGTTCACTGTATTGAATCCCCTCATAATTTTGAAAATTTCCATTAAGTCTCCTCTTAACCTTCTTTGCTCCAAGGAGAATAATCCTAGCTTCTCGAGCCTCTCCTGATAACTGAAGTTCCTCATTCCTGATACCATCTTGGTTAAATCTCCTTCGTACCCTCTCCAAAGCCTTGACATCCTTCTTAAAGTGTTGTGCCCGGAACTGAACACAGTACCCTAGCTGAGGCCTAACCAGTGTTTTATAAAGGTTCATCATAACTTCCTGACTTTTGTATTCTATGCCCCTATTTATAAAGCCTAGTATCCTGTATGCTTTTTCAACAGCTTTATCTACCTGTCCTGCCACCTTTAAAGATTTACTTATATGAATGCCTCGGTCTCTCTGTTCCTTCACCCACTTCACGATTATACCATCAGCTTATATTGTCTCTCCTCATTCTTGCTCCCAAAATGCATCATTTCGCATTTCTCCACATTAAACTTCATCTGCCACGTGTCTGCCCATTTGTCTGCTACTATCCTCCTCACTGTTTACTACTTTTCCTAGCTTTGTATCATCTGCAAACTTGGAAATTGTACTCCCTTTACCCAAATCAAGGTCATTCATATAGATCAAAAAGAGCAATGGTTCCAATATCGACCCCTGGGGGACATCTCTGCACACTTCCCTCCAGTCAGAAAAACAATCGTTCACCACAACTCTCTGCTTTCTGTCTCCCAGCCAGTTCTGTATCCATGCTGCCACTGTCCCTTTAATACATGGGCTTCTATTCTGCTTACAAGTCTCTTATGTGGCACTTTATCAAACCTCTTTTGAAAATCCATATAAACTACATCAACTGCACTACCTTCATCCACCCTCTCTGTTACCTCGTCAAAAATATATACATCTCCAACTTTTGCTGTTATCTTTCCATCCATGTGGATGAATGACACTTTTATTCCTTTTCTATATTTCATCAACACGATTCTCAAATTCACTGCTACTTTCTCTCGCCATGTGACCAAACAATCCAATCCAGGTTAGTTATTATTCAATAGGAATCACTATTATTTTTAATTTTGAGGAATTATATCTTTAACTTTGCAAATATTCTTAGAATTCACTTGCTTTGGTTTTCTCAATTTTCTGATTTTTATTCTCTCAACTGCTGTCTCATCAGTCACAGTACTTGCTTTGTCCTGTGTTGCAATTAACAATGTAGTAGGTAAAATATATACAGTGGGTTTTAATATTTTGTATATATATAACATATATATACATATTTATAATATGTATTGGGTTTTTCTTAGGAATGTGACAACTGTAAATCTCCAATGTCAAAGGAAGAAGTGAAGATCCTGGAAGTAAGACTTAAAAAATCGAACAATTGATGAACTACAAAGCATCTGCAAATCATTTGAGCAACAACCGGTGAAGCAATTAAATAATTTATCCCTGTATTTTCAACGTAGCCTAAAGAAAAGTTCCACCTTTACTGCTTTTGTTTTCTCTTGACAGGAACAAATACTAAAACTAGTCAGAAAACACGAAATTATAAAACTGGTGGGTTGATGGAGATTGTCAAGTTACAAGATGCCAGGCCTGACACTAAACGAAATACAAAACTTAACAAAAAGACTCATGCAAACTATCAACAATATTGTGAATCTGGCATCCCAATAGTTCTGACAGATGATCACTGAAGATCACATAAGATCTTCTTAGTGGGTACCACACAATCAGTCCTGGCTGGATTGAAATCCCTCATTGGGTTGAGGGATTCAATAGGAAAGGTTTAAAAATTGCTGTGAAGGACCAATCTGCATTAAATAACAGATTACCTAATCAGTACAGATGAGAAATGCGTGTCCCAGACCAGCTCGAACTTTTGGCTGATGTTGAAAATTGAAGAGGTGACATAACCTACCATTTCATGGCTCAGCAGTTAAAGCACCATAAAAGGTGCAGTTGCTTTCATGGCGATGTGTGAAGTGACCATCTAATTACTTTCTCAGCACCAAAATAATTAAGAGCAACCAAAGCCAACCTATTTTAAATATATATATATTTACTAATAGCAAGGTATATGAAATATGGTGTGGAACTAATCAACTGGTATGAAGTACATTATTGAAGGTTATAATTCAGAACACTTAACAGGTAACAGTTCTGATGTGGCATTTATTACTGGTTGATATCTTTCCTGTGACCAGCTAGTATTCAGAAGTCAGCCTTATCTTTGAAAAAATTGAAAAGGAACATCCGTAACTCTGTCTATCCAGCACCTTTGGACGTCCTCCTGACGTGAAAGGCCCTTTACAAATGTAATTTTGTTGTTGTTACCTTAACTAAACCTTCAGAAAATGTGGAAGATGTATTTGATATTGTGAATGCGGCACAATTTTACTGTAATAATATTTTTTTAAAAAAAGGTTATAGGATAATAAATGGATTATTTCGAAATCACACACAACTTCACTCAGCAGTTACAGATATCTTGTAAAGGCCAATGTACAATTTACAGTACATTCCGTGAACCTTTATTGTTCAATACAATTTGTAACTCACACATTAAAAAAACATTTTCATGGCAAAACTATTTTTATTATTACAAAAATAATTGCATAGAGGTTTGTCCTGTGATGCCTAAATCTACATTAACCACAAACAAGCGATTTATAATTTGGGGATGGATGTAACATTAATACACTGTTATATTCATCACTATTCTTAAACAATTGATTTAATAATGTCAGTGATTAGAACATTTGAGTGACATGCCACTGCTGGCAAGTTCAGTTTATGAGCAATATATTGCTCAATGTTATATTATGGTTAATGTATTGCATTAAAAAAATCAATAACGTCTTACGCTTGTAACATTATGTTGTAGACACAATTATTTGCATTAACAAAAGCATTCCATGAAAACATGCAGAATTTTCCTGCAAATTAACAAGACACCTCACCATTTAATAGTTGACCACACAAAGAAAAATATTCTTTTGAAAAATGATTTTTTAAAAAGGAACATCTACAGATATACTGTAGCGCCTTTCATGTCAGGAGGATGTCCCAAAGCACTTCGCAGGATACACTGTGAAGTAAAGTGACTGTATTTCTAGGTGAACGTAGCAGCCAATTTGCGCACAGTAATGTCCCATAAACAACCAGGAGGTGAATGAACAATTTTATTTGAGGGATTGTTGGCCAGGAACTAGTAGAAATAAGCATCACGAATAGCCACATAATGTTCTTAGCTACTTATAATTTTTAAGGAAATTGAATATAATTTGATGTAATTTCTCAAATAAGGTGTAATTATAATGTTATGTTATGAGGGACTAATATAATAGTCTGTGCACAGAGTATTGGTCACCTGTTTGGCAATCATTTCATGTCTTGAACTACGAATTAAATCATTTTTAAATTTTGAATTATTTTGATGCCTTTAGCTCACTATGGAATGGAACATTTTACACTCTGTTTTTAAACAAAATCAACTTTTAAGTAAAATTGCCTTGTAGAATATATATGGACTTCGGATTCACGAAAGAACCAAGATAGTCAATATGCTTAGGTAAGCTATCTTCTAGTTTGTTCATGAGTCCAAACTTAATTCATATCTCTGTGCACGTGGTAATGGTGAATTGATGCAGAAACAAGTATCCTGGGAAAGTATCTAAAACAAAGAGTTGGAACTGAAACTGATAGTGCTGCAACACTGAGTAATACAGATAATAATAATCCTTATATTATGATCAGATCCCCCAAATCTTTTAAGTGTAACCCAATAAACCAATAAAGTACTCCTTTGTTTACCATCTCCAAAATCACAATGCATAAGCCATAAACTGGTTGGTGGAGCCTTAAACCTGAAAGGACATTCCTGCTTCTGTCAAAATGACAATTATAGATAGCCACTAACAGGAACACGCTTTTATTAACAAAGTAATACAAGGTGCATTTACATTTTCATAACTACACTGTACCATTCCAGTAAACCAACACTAATTCCACCCGTCAGGTATGTGTCGCTGTGAAACGGGTCAGTATCAAATATACGCAAAATGCTGGAAATTCACACCATGTCATTTAGCATCTGAAAGAACCGCAGGATTATGAACTGTCATCAGACGAAAATTCATAAAAAATGCAAACCTGTTTCTCTTTCAAAAGCTGATCAACTGGTTGTGCATTTCACCATTGCTATTTTGCATTTCAGATTTCCAGCAATTTATTCCTTGATGTAAATTCATCCCACTGATTCTATCAATTAGAAAAATTGCACATTTGAAAAGACAAAAAACATGAAACTGTAATATACTATTAGACTTTACTTGTCACATTTTTATGCTCGTAGGTTTTGTAGTTTTTACCAATCATAAACTAAAACAAATCAGCATAATTATTGATCTTCAAATTAACAGTCATTATAGTGCAGAGAGCCATAGCAGAAGCTTTTGTCAGCGGCATTGGCATCAAGTACCGTATGAAATCACTGAAATGCCATTTGTGCACAGTATGAAACAGAAACCGTTGAGATGTTTAGGACCCAGGCCGGATTTGCACCAATAGTGATGCAATCTTTCTGTACAAAATTTAATTCTGATAGGTCAGCAATTTATAGGTTTATTATTGATATTATGAAACCTTCTGGCTCTTTAGATCCAAAGATTTTGATAGCTGAGAACGAACTTGCCCACACTGGCATTAGTGTGTGTGTGTATGATTGGCGTTATGACAGACACTAATTGTCTAGCATAAGGGAAGTATATTAACCATCAACCTTTGTGTGTATTGTAATTATTCTTCAAAGAATATGTTGCTTGTTATCGTCTGAAGATGAAAGTATTGTAAAATGTGAAAAAGGGAAGCCAAATTACTATCAACAATAATTTAATACATCAGAAATGTAAAAGCGAATGAAGGTGGTTATTCCTGCAATTTCAGATTGTTCTTAAACATCTTTGCTAGGAGCTACGGATTCTATATCGATGCATTCCATATTACGTTTCGTTGTTTCGCTGAAAACCGATTCAAAGGCTGCCTGTTGTTCCTCCAATGACTCCATGGCAGGTGCTGCAGGAGCTGTGCTTTCACTGGCCCGCTGCGCTGCTGCAAAACGTTCCATCTCTGCCTGCTTCCTGCCCCGTCTTTTACCTAAAATTTTAACGTAATTGGCTGGCACCAGCCCAGTCGTTTGGCCATCCTGACTGGCCAGCAACCACCCACGCACTTTGGGCTGTTGTTCTGAAAAGTAGAGCAAAAGGCATTTTTGCAACATTAAAATAATAATCATTGCATTTGATATAGTGATTTAGTGTATATTTTGTGGGAGAAAAGCAGCAGCCAATTTTGCACAGCAGTGTCCCACAAACAGTCGTGAATTGAGTGGCCAAATTGTTTATTCACTATGGGAAAAACAAAGGAACAAACAAAGTTTGTTTTTGTGGCACATCTTTTGAATAATATGAAAAGGAAATCTTTTCAGTTTGGCAAATTGATTAAAAGCCAATTGTGGAAAGATTCATTAATCCGTGTAGATTTTTTAAAGTTTAGATCAACTTTTAGATCAAGTTGATTGGAATTACTACAATTCAACCCACAAATTTGTTCACGGATTAATATCCTACTGGTATGGGTAGTGTGAATGATGTGCCTATATACTTAATAATCTGTGACCAAATTACAACGCTTAATTTACTCAAGGCATGGCTGACTGACTCATAAAAGTGAGAACAAAAGGAAATTCTTTGAATGCAACTAATTTATTATATTCAATCTCTACACATCCTTTACCAAAGCCACTATTAAAATAAAACCATCCTTTATGCCAAGAGCCTAAGGCGAAAGTCACTTTGATGTTTCAATGTTTTATTTTCCAAATAAAGTATTGTTATTCAACTCGTAACTTAGGTGAGGTAATGTTCTTGCCATCAAAATTGTAAAGCAGGTAGAATTTAGAATTCTCCCTCATCACCCCACAACTCATTGCGTAATTACATAATGGAGCTCGGTATCGAACAACCAGGCAGGTCCAAATCTTAATAATAATAATTCTTGAATTTTTATATAGCCCCTTATCACGTGGTTGAGACGTCTCAAAGTGCTTCACAGAATATACCGTAAAGTGAAATGACTGTATATTTTGAGGGCAAAATGTAGCGTCCAATTGCGCACAGCAGTGTCCCACAAACAGTCGTGGATTGAGTGACCAATTTATTATTATTTCTTTATTTAATCTCTGGTTTGTACCGTTAGCTGATCTAGGCCAACGCTGTGGTGGGAATGCTCCCAGAATTTCTGGCCTGTGAGGTAGACAAGGGGTGAAGAGTGAACAAAGTGGTGAAAGTCATCCAGGGTTTCTTTCTCTACCCAATGACCACCGTTGAAAACTTTCCATGTGGATGAGGTTTGGCTTTGATGCCGTCCCTGAGGTTCGCCGAGGCTGAGGCTTGAACAAGGAATTGAATGGCAAAAATTTTTGTATACGTTAGCCTACAAATACACAGTCGCTATATTTTACAGTATATCCCGTGAACTGCTTTGGGACATCTTCCCGAAGTGAAGGGTGCTATACCAAATGTAAGGATGTTTCTTTTCTTTCATTAACTCAATTCTCTTATTGCTGGAATGAGCAATCCCCAGGTGGAAATTCCACATTGTGATGGATTTTTTCTTTATTTTGGAGGCAGTAAAGACATTTTCAATTCTAGATGAGATTCTTTTGCTGAGAGTTATCCATTGATGTCAAGCACTGGTATAACACCCTTTACATTAATAATAATAATCCTTGCATTTGGTATAACGCCTTATCATGTCTTCTAGACGTCTCAAAGCGCCTCACAGTAAAGCGAATTCACTATATATAATATAATAATAATATAATATATATAATATAATATATATATAATTCACTATATATATATATTTGTGGGCGAAACAGTCGTGGATTGAGTGACCAAATGTTTTTTTTTAAAACCGGATAGAGTACAAGTTGTGTACTCAGTCAAATGGGCTCAATCTCCCGGTTTGTAAGTGCATTACAATGGTACAGAGTGATGGAGCAGATGTAACACTTAAAGGTCAGAGCACTGTGTCCTGGCCAACAATTGTTCCAGATTCGTTGATTACTCATCTCATCATTCATTTGTTGTGTGCAAATGGCTGCCACGTTTGCCTTCAAAACAGTCACTGTACACCACGGTAATTACCCATGAAGCACTTTTGGGACATTTCAATGTGGATCAGATACTATAAAAAAATCCAAGTTCTTTCTTAATGTTAATTAAATAATACAGCCTGGGGACTTTTATTTTTCCGCAAAAATCCAAACCCCTGATTGTTCAGCGTCGTGGGAAGTCCTTCTGACATGAAAGATGCTATACAAATGTAATGTTGTATTGTATAAGTGAACAACATTTAACGCGTATTTATCACGGGAGAAGGGCGACGGTATGAGAACGCCGTTTCAGGCCTCACCTTTTGGTGCCATGTTCAGCAGATCACCTGAATGCAGTGAGATCTCCTCTTGAGAGCCAGCGATGAAGTCATACTCTGCCCTTGCAACAACATGATCGTCCTCTCCACTTGCCCAGTTTGTGGAGTCTTATTCCAAAAAGGAGAAAAAGTAGCTATTATTTACAGCAATTTTGCTTTTTCGTCAGCCGTGTGTCCGACACACTCGGGGACTCAGCACCACGCTACAACTACACAGTCGCTATACTTTACAATATATCCTGTGAAGCACTTTGAGACATCTTCCCAAAGTGAAAGCTGTTATACCAAATGTAAGGATTTTTATTTTCTATTATTAATTCAATTTTCTTATTGCTGGAATGAGCATGTGGAAATCCCATATTACAATGGAAATCTTACTTTGGAGGCAGTAAAGACATTTTCAATTCTAGATGACATTCTCTCTCTGAGTTTTAAATTGATCTCAAGGATGGGTATAAACACCCTTTGCATTAACAAGATAAAGTACAAGTTGTGCACTCAGTCAAATGGGGTTCATTCTCAAAGTTTGTAGTATGTAAACCAAACAGGAGTCCAGATATGTATGCCAACTGCTCATGGAAATTTCCCCACGCTTGGAAGTATTAGGCACAGGTTAGCAAAAGTCAAGGCTTTGGAACATTAAGAGTGTGTGTTGGGGTACTGCTGGGAGCCATGTCTGGCAAACTTCCCACAGACAGTGAGGAAAATATCTTCTGAATAAAAATTTTGGGGGAATTTTTTTAAGGTAACATATGCTGAATTGTTCAATACACAAGTGATTAAAATGATCACTGTATTTATTGGTTCTCTCTAATCTACCCATGAGAATTTTTTTATCACTGTATTTCGATACAAAATTATTTTAATAATCTTTGCATTTGACTTAGAGCCTTATCATGTTGTTGAGGTGACTCACAGCGCTTCACAGAATATACTGTAAAGTGAATTGACTATATTTATTGTGGGTGAAACTCGGCAGCCAATTGCGTACAGCAATGTCCCCAAAGAGTCGAGGATTGAGTGACCAATTTTTTTTATGAGGGATTATTATCCCTGAAGGCGATCTGCCAATCGAATTACAACTGGGTTCCTACTTACTGCTACATAAAGAGAGGTGTATGAAGTAAGGAAACTTGCCTAATGTTTCACCCTGCCCGGGAAACGGGAATTTTAAAACGTAATTATAATCAAAGTGTGTTCAGTGGGCATTTGATTGTCTCACCTGGTTCTTCAACCTCAATCGAGCTCAATAATTTCCAAATGAGATAAGGGCCTCCGAGAATGACAGCAAAGAACAGAAAGATGGGCCAGGATTTGCCAGATCCAGCTGCTTTATCCTCAGCCCCAACAGGAACCACGGCTCTGGCGCTGTCCGCCCACAAATCTTCTACCTCAGAGCTCTTCCGTAGACCCAGTAACCTCTGCAGCTTCCTGTACATGTACTTTAACGTTCTGATCAATGCAAATGCCGAGAGGACTTTGGTGAAGTGCAACCGGAGTCTGGAGAAATGGTTGGCGACATCCAGGACTGCTCTAAAACTGTTATAAACAGCTGAGGAAGTAGCCTCAAGCATCATGCTGACAGATGCAAAGGCATGGACAATACTTTCAATGGACTGAAATGCTCCCCTGCTGCTTTCTTCAGCATGCTGTACAAACCTGCTGGGAGGAACATTATCTGTCTGAAACCTGTTGTAGCCAAGGCCTCCATATCCATAGCTATAGGGGTTATAGTTTCCATATAAAGAGCTTCCATACTGTGAATATCCAGGTGAGTATACGGTAGACATGAGGCTCGATGCAGGTCTGTAAGTGCGGAGGTTTCTGCCTCCAATCTGTTGGGCTGGCCTTTGGGGTACAGGAGGTGGAATTCGTGTGAGCACAGGCTGTCCTGGTCTCAAAGGTAAACTAGCTCCTAGTTCAGACGATCTGAAAGACATGAAGTATGAATGCAATTTACAAAGCTAGGCTTTACCGTTAAAGGCATCATCTTTATGAAACATATTTGGCAAACATGAATATAATAATAATCCTTGCATTTGATACAGCATCTTATCACGTAGTGAGTAATTTGAAAGTGCTTCACAGAATATATTGTAAAGTGGATTGACTGTGTATTTTGTGGCCGAAATGCAGCAGCCAATTGCACACAACAATGTCCCACGTGGATTGAGTGACCATATTTTTTTGAGGGATTATTACCCCCAGAAAGCGATCCGCCAATCGACTAACAACCGGGTTCCTACTTACTACTAAGTAAATAGAGGCTTATGGAGTAAGGAATTCTAAGGTTTCTTGCCTAAGGTTTCGGCCCGCCCGGGAATCGAAACTGGGTCCCCTTGCTTGTGAGGCGAGTGTGCTAACCACTACGCTACAGGACTCCCAATGGTTTTGGTATTTGGGTAGAACCAAAATGGCCATGTGTCATATATGAAATAAATGTAAAAGATACTTTGGAGGCAGTTTTAGAAAGAATGTTCCAATACTTACTTACCACTTGAAATGATCACATTTCAGATCACTATTTCATCTCCCTTAACTCCTCCATCCCCCTCCCTGCCACGCACATCTTCTATCGCCCCTGGAGAAATATCCTCCTCCATGCCCTCTCCGCTGCCCTGGTGGCACCTGAACTCCTACCCCCTGGCCCCCCTCCTGCAATGACCTACCTTCCATGGTCACCCTTTTAAACAACTCCCTCTCAGCCATCCTCGACATGCTTACCCACGTCATCAGCCTCCTACTCGCACAAATCCCCCTGGTACACCAGCCACCTCCGCTCTCTCAAATCTCAGGTGCACTCCACCAAATGCACCTGGTGCAAATCCAAATTAACCATCTACCATCCCTCCCTTATTAGTTTACCATCAGATCTGGCAGGACTGCACCAAGACCTACCATTCTGCCCTCGCCTCAGCTAAGTCATCCTTTTATTCCAAAATCATCTTGGAAGTTAAGGACAACCAGACTCCTCTTTTCTACCATAAACCAACTTCTGCATCCACCCTCCCATGCCTCTGCCATCCTCTCCTCCACCAAATGCGAGGAAATGATGGATTTCCTTGAGTCCAAAGTCGCCTCTAGCCTCTCTATTGGAACCTCGTCCCACCTCCTGCTCCTCTTCCAGTCCCACCCCCACCATCCCTCACTCTACACATTTAAACCCTGTATATACCATCTCCCCCTCTTCGCTTACCTCCATGATTTCCAGTATGAAACCCACCACCTGCTCCTTTGACCCCCATCCCTACCCCTCTCCTCCCAGCTCCACCTCCTTTCCCCCACCTAATAGACCTCATTAACTGGCACCGTACCCATCCCCTACAGGCAGCCGTCATCACCCCTATCCTCAAAAAACCTTCCCTTGACCCATCTCTGCTCTCCAACTACAAAACAATACGATACAAAATTACATTATAAAATGTCTTTCACGTCGAGAGGACGTCCCATTTCAAACTTTCCTTTTCTATCAAAGGTCATGGAACGAGTTGTCGCTTCCCAGCTTCGCTCTTTCCTCTCCCGGCATTCCCTCCACGAACCCCTCCAATCTGGGTTTCGTGCTGCCCACAACACAGAAACAGCCCTGGTCAAAGTGACCAGTGGCATTCTGTCCACCTGCGACCAGGGTTCTCTCTGTCTCCTCGTCTTTCTTGGCCGCTTTCGATTCTGTTGACCATTCTATTCTTCTCCACCGCCTCTCCTCTCACCTCCACCTCAATTGTTCTGTTCTTACCTGGTTCCAATCCTACCTTTCCCACAATCTGCACTTCATGGCCACCAATGGCTTCTCCTCCAGCCCTCCCACTGACATGTGTCGCATCCCGCAGGGCTGTCCTTGGTCCCCTCCTCTTCCATCTATATATGCTCCTGCTTGGCGATGTCATCCCCAGGCATGGGGTCAATTTCCACATGTATGCGGATGACAACCAACTCTACCTCGCGCCTTCACCCTCGACTCCAGGACCGTTGATATCCTGGCTAATTATCTATCTGATATCAAGTCCTGACGAGAGCCAACCTTCCTCCAGCTCAATGTTGGCAAGACAGAGTCCCTCCTGCTTGGCTCCCAATAGCGTCTTCTCACCTTTTTAACCCTCAGGTATCCTTGAAACCCCACATTCGTGCTGTGACCCGTTCCGCCTTTCCACACCTCCAAAACATTGCCCGCCACCTCCTCTCATCGCAGGCCACCGAGACCCCGATCCACGCTCTCATTATGTCCCGGTTTGATTACGCCAACTGCCTGCTCATTGGACTTCCCAACTCTACCCTCCACAAGCTGCAGATTATTCAGTACTCTGCAGCTCGTGTCCTTTCCCGCGCCAGGCTCTGGGAACCTATTAACTCCTATTGCCCAGTTTTACAGATTCCCAGAGAATCGAGTACAAAAACCTCATTATTACCTTCCAAGGCCGTCAACGGTCTTGCTCTCCCCTACCTCTCCGACCTCATAACCCCATATCAGACTTCCTCCGCTCGGCGGGCACCGGCCTGCTTCAGGTCCCCCGCACTTCCCGCCCCACCATTGCCGGTCAGGCATTCAGCATCTCTGCCCCAGCACTCTGGAGCCCTACCCCGCAATCCCTCCGCCTCAGCCCCTCTCTTGCCTCCTTCAAAATCCCGTCTGAAGACCTTCCTCTTTGATCGTGCCTTCGGACACCCTCCCACCCCCGCACTGCCCTCCTCCCCTTCCGACCCCAACTCGGGCCCTCGACCCCCGATGGTCCAGTGCCCGGGGACGTGAAGGGTGCGCGACGCGCGCGCAATTTGTTGTTGCTGTTGAAACGTCACTCACTGAGTCCCAAATAAAAGGATTGCCCCCAAATTCCGTCACCTCCGCCGCAGCAGCAACAACAACAACAACAACGACAACGACAACAAGATTCCATCTATTGAGCGCCTTTCACGTCGGGAGGACGTCCCGAGGTGACTTTTGCACAATTTATTCGTTGCAGCACAAACCGACCGGACCGGACGCGTCTGCTCCGGGGTCCGCGGCTCCTTCACCAAACTCACAGCACATCATTCGCCCTCAAAATGTACAGTCAATTCACTTCGCAGCACCGAGACGTCTCGACGGTGTGATACGGCGCTGCACCAAAGCGCAGAAGGGACTATTATTATTATTATGATGATGATGATGATGATGA